GTGGGCGTCACCAGCTGGGTCAGCCCTTGAGTAAGAGCGAACGCTTCGACTGTATGTCCTGCTGCATCGGTCTTGTTTGAGCCCAACCAAAGCTCATTATGGGCATTGAAGTCACCAAAAAGCATTACCTCTGCAGCGGGGTGATTGATGTTCAGGAAGTCGATCTGGACGGCGAGGTATTCGAGTAGGTCATCCCAGTTATGGTCCGAGGGAGAGCGATAAAGGCAGAAAATTTGGGTAATGTTTTGGAGTTGAGGCGAAGCCACAGAATTTCCTTCTGCTCTGATTCCAAAGAAACATTTCTGGAGCAGGAAAGACTGCTGTGGACAAAAGCCACAACTCCCCCGTGCTTTCTCAGAATGTTGCTGTTAATCCCGCAGATCTTCGAAAAAATTTTATCTTCAATGTTGTTCCCTCGAGCCCACCCTCCACCCGGACATTCTGAGAGAGATCCATCATCATTAATTTCTTTGTTTTGGAAGATAACCGACTGCATAGCTTAGGTGTGGAAATATGCGGACATTTATAAGACACCCTCGGAAAAGCTAGCGGGTGGTACCGCCTCGGTCGACTGGTCCTTGTCTACCACCTTCTTTTTACTAGTTAGTGATATTAAATAGACCTAAAGTGGCCCCCGGCAACCGGTACTGAGGTATTCCTTAATGCGTGTATAATCACTTGAACGGGAAGAAGCTGTATACTGGATAGAACTTCCGGAACATTTGCCACGGCCCCGCTCAGTAGGGAATAAATAAGATACATTATTGTGGTATACAATCGAAGCGAACAGCTGGTGGTCATAACTACATTTCAAATTATGGTATGATTTAAAGAAGATCTGATCAATATTATAACGAAAACACCGTTTTTACTACTTAAAGTATAATTTATTACTTTCACACTAATTTATTGCAAATTTTTGAGAATGTCGACTGGACAGCAGCGTCTCGCGCTTCTGCTCCCCATTCTGCCCACGCGTATCTACTTTCAAAATGACGAATTCTAGGTACGTTTCCGCGCCTTCTAGGGAGAGCGCGAGCCTTCGTCGAAGTGGTCTGGATTGCTACGAAGATGCATAACAAAAGATTAAATGACCTTCTTCCTCCCCCTGAGAGAAATTCCTGCGAGTGCACATGATCTTGCTATTATTCAAATTCAAATTCAACTCCAAATTCAAAATATTTATTTCGTCATGAATGAACATCATAAACAAAAGAAATTCTACATATAGAGTAATGACGAAAAAGGACAGTCTCTCGATTATAAAACCGATACATTGGACCCTTTAATACAAAGAGTCCATGCGAGAAAGCCCTGAACACCCTAAAAGTCCTTGAACAAAATAAAAAAACAATAAAGAGGCAAATGAAGAGGAGGTGAAACACAAAAAGGCAAAGACGAAGAAAGAACCCCCGGGAGCTGGCAACGGAAGGAACGCGTTCTATGCCTAGGTACGATAATATTGAGATTATTTCTGCTTCTCTGGGGACTAGGCAAAGGCACAAATCTTTCTCTTAAATAGGGCGGTTGACCTGTTTTTATAACCCTATAGATAAAAGAATACATGTGATATCTTCTGCGATTCGTCATGTTTAATATGTTGTAGTTATTCAGATAAGGAGTGATATGGTTTCGATATGGAATTCCAAACGCAAATCTCATGCAACTATTTTGAACTTTTTGTATGCATTTTTTGGTTCGCGACGATAGCGAATCACTATAGACGACATCTCAATAGTCAAAAAGTGATAAAATTAAGGTATTACACAAATAATATTTTTGTTTGGCTGATAAATGTTTTTTTAATTTGTTTATATTTTTTAGTCGCATGTAAGCTAAAGCGAGCTATCAAATATAATGCCTAGATTTTTTGTCTCCTGAACTATGGGGATTCTGGCATTGTTAATAGCAATTACTAAATTTTGTTCAAAATGTTCTCTTTCAGTACTGTTTTTATTCATAACCATTACTTGCGTTTTTGAGGGGTAATAGTTTAAGATTGTGATGCTTTGCAAATCTGTCAATTCTTTGGAGATCTGAATTTAGTTGTTGTTGTGCAATATGGATTGTAGTTTTATTGACAGGGAGATATATTTGTGAGTCATCTGCATATTGTTTTATCTTTGCGAATTTTACCGATTTGACCATGACAGATATGTAGATTGAAAATAGCAAAGGAGATAAAATTGAACCTTGAGGATCTCCTCTTTTTATAGGTTTAAAATCGGTTTTGTAAATAGCAGACTCATTTGCTAACATAACACAGTTTGAACGGTTGCTTAAGTATGTTTTTATTAGATTTACTGAGTTCTGCGAAAACCCCTGGTAATGTAACTTAGCTAGTAACATTTCATGATTCAGAGTGTCGAACGCTTTACTAAAATCGAGAAGAACCATGCACGCACTATTTTTTTGTTCTTGATGATGTCTGATATCATCCAAGATATTAACTAATAATGTACTTGTGCTAAAGTTTTTCCTAAAACCGGATTGACTATCGGGTATGATATCGTTTGTGTCACAAAAAATCTAATTTGATTATAAATATGCCTTTCTAAAATTTTGGATGTAGCGGGTAATATGCTAATAGGCCTCAAGTATGTAAAATCTTTAGGTCCTTCTATTTTTGGTAAGGGTTTAACAATAGCTTTCTTCCATATTTCTGGAAATAATCCCCCCAAAATACATGTGTTGATTATATTCAGCAAAGCATTCGTACAAAATGGGATACATAACTTTAGGTCTCTCATAGAGAAACCATCCTCTCCAATGGCATTTGATGAGATATTAGTTACAATTTTGATTAGACTGGCCCTGTCTAACAGTTGGAAGCTAAGAGAATCGTTAATGTTTACATTGTTTTTGTAAAAATTGATTAATTCTTGGGAAGCAGTGTCTGGTAAATTGTCGTTCTGCTGGAAGTAATTGTGTATGTCATTTACATTTTGTAAGTGTTGAGTGAGTTTTCTTGCATGTTATGTTGAGCTTTTTGGTAGTGTCCCAAAATTCCTTACCTTTCTTTGTTGAGAGTAGGTTAAAGAATGTATTTTTTTCTCGGATAATTGCATGCTTTGTATAAATCCTGCATGGATGTGGATATCGACTTTGACAGCTTACAGCCCACAGCAACGCGGAAGCGACTACCGACTAGGAGGCACGGCGCACGACCATCAGACGGACCACGTCGCACATACCGATGAGTAAATGTAGGGGGAGATCCATGATGAGTGAAATATGACTAATTGAATTACTGGGGTGGAGCCGTATGAATATACCAACGTCAACAAATTTAGATATACCCTCCTCTAACCACTGCTACCCTTAGCCCATAACCCCCTATTTTATATCCATATACGTAATTTTCCAAGAAAAAGGAGCATCTGAATCGTCAAAAAACGAAGTTTTTGACCATTTCCTCCGCAGCCACTAGCCCAATAGTCAAAAAATAACTAATGACTAGGCTAGACAAGTAATTTAGTTTAGTTAGTTTTCGATCCAAGTAATCTGCCTAACTGTTTGATTAACAGGTAAAATATCACAGAGCTTGCTGGATGTACGGCGCCGTTCATTAGAAAAACTAGGCTGTTAATTGAATGTTTTATAAAGCTAGTTGACTGCGATACATGCATCGGCCCAAATGACCATGCACTATCGATTTCTGGGTCCCTACAGTATTTGACAAGTGTTAACCTACCTAAAAATAGATGGAATATGTAAACGACCCGTAAATCTGTAACATACTATTTTGGCAGATCAGATCAGATGTTTACAACATAACATAAAAGTATACGGTTTAGCATGGAGAGCAGCCGTTTCAGTTTTGATCTGGTTGGCATCCTGTCACAGTCCATAATTCTGGAATACCTCCGATTTATAGCCTATTAGATTTCCGGCCGGTATATTTCAGGCCCTGCCACAAAATTTACGGTCGCAATTAAGCCCTTTTTATACCGGTTGTTTATATCCGTTGATTCTACGTAATAGGGACACGAGATTATCGATAGGCTGATTTAAAAAAATTAATTTGTTGCGGCTTTTACTTTTTATCGTCCATACATTGAACAAGAACGACATTGTCAGCTTATGACTACATCGACTATATGTGAAATCCACTCATTATATTCGTGTCAGCATCTAGGTCTGAAAGCTGTCTGTTACGATACGAAGTTTTATACATAACTCTGAAAGAAATTTTTTGGGGGATAAATATGTTACTGTCTTTTAAAAAAAGCATTTTTTGTAATAAGGTTCGTATGAAGCAGCTCCTCGAATGCCATCAAAATTAGTGCAGACGCTCAAGACATTACCAAGAGAAAAAAAGCTAATAGTCCTTGGACAGGCAGGCAGACCGATGATAATGAGTAAAATGCATTTTCTTGGTCACGTTGCAACACAAAATTCCAGTTCCAATGCTTACTTCTGGTTACTCTGTGAAGTGACCAGAAACATGAGAAAAAAACGAAAAACCTTAGAGATCATCTATAAAAATCCTTTAACTATGCCCAAAAATTATAAGGCGGTTGTGAAACCCAAAAACGAAATTGGGATACGACCAGAATCTTCCTTTACCACTGAACAGATTTTTTTCAAACATGTAGTACATTTATGTAATACGTTCTCACAGCACATCTTCCTCATATGTTATCAATATTTTTGAGATGACACGATTAGCAAACCAGGTGCAAACTGACAAATAGGCAGACTGAACAGAAAGAGTGACTGGGTTTTTCGTCGTAACTCATAAAACACCAGAAACTCTTCCCTCTCGCTTATGGTTAAAAGTTTTGGAATACTCAAGTTTAACTGACTTGTTTTAACTGTTTTGTTGTCTCACGATTTGACATCATTTGTGTACCAGTTGGACACTCTTTTTATGCCAAATAATATAAGGTATACATATTATTCGAATACAATGTTTACTTGCGGGTAGGCAAAGTCTTATCCATACTTTTGTTCGACAGTGTATATCCAATTTAAAAATAAATTCTATCTCTTTCCAGCGATATCCGCAAAAGATTGGACTTTCCTGTTCAGCGGTCACATCTACGATGTGAGGAAATATGGTGCTTTGTGTCAAAGCAGCTTCGCTAGATGTTTTCGCTGAGGTCATAATCTCACCTATATATTTTTGGTTTGAGAAGATTCAAGAGGAAAATAATATTGTTTCCATTCGCAAATAGATCTTTATTCATTCCCTTTGTGTGATTTCAGCAAGAACAATGTGTATCTGCTTTGGAATAGTACTATATATCTATATACGTCTACTTTGTCCTGTGCCCAGAAATTACGCAGAATAAAATACTGTGCATTAAACGTAGGTGCGGCTACGTGTTTTCTTTATTATTTCAAAATTAATACCAACCACCGTCTTTCTGCCCGATGTCGCATCCGCATGATTACAGACAATTGAAAATAGCTCGGAAAAAATGATTTTTCCAATCAACAATTGTTTAGGGAAGCTCAACAGCATGCATCCTACATGTTGAATGTACTTTTATCTCTTGCAAAAAGGCGTACCCTCGTTACTGATACAACTCGAAGACAACCATCAGAAGAAAAAAAAACGTTTTGTTGCCAATCACCTCACGCTCCTTTCTTCTTCAGCGCCTAAAAGATACGTGCTTGAAAGTCAAACCAGCTACGATGTTTAAAAACCGTCAGGTAATAAGGAGAACAAACAGAGAGTCATACTAAACCATAAAACAACTAATTTAATATCTTGAGGGTGCTGAGTGAGGGGGGTGAAATTCTCCATCCCAACCCCTCTAGTTAAGGTTTCAATGTCAACGCTAAGGATGTAATCCCCCAAATCAAACCACATATATGTCTAAAATTCCACTTTATTGTTCGGTTTCAGTTCCAACAGTGACCTTTTTCACAAAAAATTGAAAAATATATTTTGTTTATCTGTCATTTGCTTTTTTTCTTTCATTTACACATTCCTACCCAGTGTATTACCACAATAGTCTGTACGGTCCTTTAACATGACGAAATTGTGCGAAGCCATTATTGCAATTTTAAGATGACATCGCGCTCAACCAGCATGGCCCAGGACCGTCTGAGGTAGGTATACCATTCCCAGAAGCACGTCCAGCCCTCCAAAGCGGTAAACGATCATGATGTTATCTGTCCTTTTTTAATTTACCAGTTACTCAACCTCGTCCATCGTCCCGAAAGCATCAAAAAATCTTGTGAAAACGCGAAAACACCAAAAATAAGGAGAACAAACAGCGAGTCATACTAAACCATAAAACAACTAATTTAATATCTTGAGGGTGCTGAGTGAGGGGGGGTGAATTTCTCCATCCCAACCCCTCTAGTTAAGGTTTCAATGTCAACGCTAAGGATGTAATCCCCCAAATCAAACCACATATATGTATGTCTAAAATTCCACTTTATTGTTCGGTTTCAGTTCCAACAGTGACCTTTTTCACAATTGACACTTCTCCTTTGAAAATATATTTTGTTTATCTGTCATTTGCTTTTTTTCTTTCATTTACACATTCCTACCCAGTGTATTACCACAATAGTCTGTACGGTCCTTTAACATGACGAAATTGTGCGAAGCCATTATTGCAATTCTGAGATGACACCGCGCTCAACCAGCATGTCCCAGGACCGCCTGAGGTAGGTATACCATTCCCAGAAGCACGTCCAGCCCTCCAAAGCGGCAAACGATCATGATGTTATCTGTCCTTTTTTAATTTACCAGTCACTCAACCTCGTCCATCGTCCCGAAAGCACCAAAAAATCTTGTGAAAACGCGAAAACACAAAAAATCCTCTGAAAACGCGAAAACTATTAGAACACACCGGTTTTTATCCTAAGTTCGACTACAAATGCTGCATGTTTATTGTTTATGGACCAGTATGTCGCGACAAATGCGAACTTCATTCACATTTGGCAAAGGAGAACATAAAAATTTTAAATATCAACGTCGTAATCTATCCCTGTCATACTCGATTGGTAAAGCGATCTGGTTTCATTTTTGGGCAGCAATCTCAATTTCTTACGACCTACTCCTAAAATTTCAATTAATTCCTCCTACAAAATCTAGTAAGAACTGATAACGTAACTACAGTCATAAACCTCCATGCTGCAACTTAATGCTCCTTTGATAATCTTCATTTAACTTATTTTGAAATTATCAAGAGTTTGTTAGATTAACAAGCCCCTCACATAAAGAAGCATACCCTTTGCAATCTTCCAATCGTACGAGGTAAACCTGCCCATGCTAACGGTAGGAGACCTTGGCAGGCACAAATAATCTGGGATCATACTGCTTTTCTAAATGGCTATTAAGTTCAAATCGGGCTTTACGGTCACCGTCGTTCAGCAAATTGTTATTGGGGTGGACCCTAACATATTCAAAAGGACAATGGCCCTAAATTAGTGTCATAGTCAACGAATGGACACGTATAAGCCCGATGTTTTAAATAGCCTTCATTTGCCTCACTTCAAGCCACGGAGGTTTTGAGATTAGAGAGGTTTCCGCTCGATTGGGTACGACTGTTATTTTATTTCATCTCATGACTAAACTACACGTCTGAAAATGATTTTACATACGTTTCAGCTGCCTCGGCAGACTATTCTGAATGTATCAAAATGATATTTTCTCTTAATCTTATGTGGCCTGTTTTTTTTTTTGGATGACTACCAATTCATAGTTAATTCACTTGGCTACCGATGGTATTTTGACGTTACTATAATAATTGATGGTTGCCCATGGTTACAGCTCAGCTGGTGGGAACAGCAGGTATAGTCACATGCATCTTATGGAAACGTTTAACTTGAGATGTGGTCTTTATATCAAGCGCAAGAATGGTTGGTTTATTGATTTGCATCATATGATGGGACATCACTCCATTGAAGCTAATAGTGCTATCATCATTCATTTTTTGTCTTGGTGTAAATAAAAGTATATTTCATAAATAAAATAGAAAGCTCTATTTTTGACATATTTATATTAGTTACATCTACAGTATACTATTCGTCAGAGCGGTCCGGTGGACCTCTGCTCTTAGTTAAAAGTCTCGTCGGTCTGTTAGCCTGTTAGGTCTGGCTACCCAGATACCAAACATGTTTAAGGGGAAAAGGGAAAGAAGGAAAGAAAGGAGGGAAGAAATAGAGCAAAGAAAAGAAGTAAATCATTTGAAATAGCTTAAGCATTATTCCTTTGACTACTCGAATTATTTTGTAGCTCCAAAAAAATAATGTTGATCGGTTTTGCATACTGAAATAATTTTGGCTGGTCTGAATTTACAATTTAATTTTGATCACAGTGCGAGGCGCGGCCTGGAATGTTTGCGAACTTGCTCGACTATGTAGTCTACTGAATCACGTAACAGAGGGTTTCTGTACGATTCCGCTTGATTATAACGCCGCTGCGCCTGTTGTTTTACATAATCCCGTAGATATGGGATATCAAGATCTCTGTGAATGGTCTAATTTGACACGTACCAAGGGGCGTTAGTAATTGTGCGTAGGGTTCTGTTTTCCAGGACTTGCAGTCTCTGCATGTGCGTCTTGGCAAGAAAACACCAAGCCGCGCATGCGTAGGTGATTGCGGGTCTTATGACCATTTTATACAACCGAATCTTGTTGATCAAACTTAATTTTAAATTTCTGCACAATAAAGGATAAAGCGGCCGAAAGGTAATTTGGAATTTTTCTTTCAAAATATCAGTATGTTTCTGCCAGGTCAACCTATTATCAATGATGACTCCAAGATACCTGACAGATTGCACCCTTGGTATACGGTATATGGTTTTCGAAATATTAATTTTGATCAACCACCGATCCGCCCACTCCAATACTTCCTCCACCGCACTCTGCAGCCTGTCGTGAACCAGATTACCAGAGCAAGACTGAGCCAGCAATGCAGTGTCGTCAGCATAGAGATAGACTTCACAGTTGCTGGGGCAAGGGACGTCATGTATATAAAAGATTTCAACAGTTTTAGTAGCCAAAATGGAAAACCCTTTTGGATGAGCTTATACAAGAGGCCCATGGGCCACACCTTGTCAAATGCCTTTGATACATCTAAAAGCAAGATACCAGTACTTTTGTTCAAGGTGACGATAAATCACATTGTCAGCGAGCTTAGAGTTCTGAGCATTGCATTGATTATTGCCACCAGATAAATCAAAGCCTTGAGCGAAAGCAACTTCAGTGCTTTGTTGGTAATTTGATCCTCTCCAGATGCTTTACGCATCCTTAGGTCCTTAATGTGGCGTAGGAGCTCTGCTGGTGTGCAAAACAGAATCTCAGAGGATTCCTGTGATATGCTATGCTGAGATTTATCTGAAGAGTCTTCCGTAGAAGAATCCTCTGAAAAGGAGTCCCCGATGTTATCACCGATGTTGGTATCGCCATTCGCCCTGAAGTATCTCCTGACAGATCTTACAATTTGTCGTTCCTCGTCAAGGTCATTGTCCAGATCATAATTGGGAGAGAACTGCCTTTCCATGAGGTCAGCAAAAACCTCCACTTTATCCTCAGTCCTGAAAACTATACCTCCAGGACCATGAATATGTGGTAGTTGTTCTTGCCTTGCGTTTCGGAGTGATTTTGCAACTTTCCAGAGAGGAATACTTGATTCAAGCTTCCCCGCCAGAAAGCCGCTCCACTGCTCAATGCGGAATTCATGGAATGCATTTCTCACTTCATGGACGAGATTCGTCGCTCTACGAATGTCATCAGGATGAATCTACAGTATATTACAAGCAGAGGCATCATAGGAAGTATAGTTGGCCGAACTGGCTTAACGTTAGTCAATTACCGATGATCCGAATGCTGTGTAATACTTCTGATCATAGTGCATGACATTTTATATTCACTAGTACTAGTATCTCTAATAAAAAATGAACGATTTCGAAATACAGAGATAAACCTTGCCGTAAAAATAATGTATTCTTGATATCCAGGTTTGAATAGAAAAATTGGTGCGGTACCAAAAGCAGACTTTTGATCGTATGAAATTTTTCTACAGTAGAATAGGGATCTATTTTTCGACCAATTCTCAATTCCGTTGTCTTATCTGACAGCTCAGTCAAAACCTCAAGAACTAAATTATAAGTAGTAGGTGCCCCTCTGTTGGCTACACATTCGTTAATTCGTCGCGGAATTCATTGGATTAAGTGATTGCTGTCTTCTTGGTGTATTGTATCGCAGACGATCTGAATTTGGTTTAGAAAAAGAAAATCCGGCTTCACGTAACCCGATTATACGACACCTCTCAAACTCGGAAATTTGAGTGAAATTAGCGCGTCAATGAAACAAATGGAACCAACACAGAACAATATCTGAATATTAAGTAAACATGGTCATATTGTTCGGATCCTGATATGACAAAATAAGCCTTTACAAAAAAGAACGGCTCCGAATGCCTTCAACATTTTATCAGCATATACAGGGTGCGGCAGAGAGGATGGATGGTTTTAAAAAAATCATAAAATAGTTAATTGTTACTCGAAAACAAATTTATTGATGGAATCAGGTTCACAAGGAAATAGCATTTGAGACAGTCAAGTGTGGAAAATCACATCAGGCATGTGGTGGCCGAAATCGTTGATGCAGTGCTGGAGGCGTTCTAGGAAGTTCGCGATACAGCGCACCAAACCGTTACTTTTGGGCTGTGCAGCGGTCTTTAGTGTAACTATTGCGGATGTTCATTAGCCCAATAACGAAAATTCTGCTGGTTAACCATGCTGTTTAGGTGAAAGTGGGCTTCGTCACTCATAAACAAAATGAGGTTCTTATTTTGATCGATCAGTGCTTCCATCTCACGTGCGAAGTTCATTCGTTGTGCATAATCTCCGGGCTGCAACTGTTGCACAATGGCCAATTTGTAGGGGCGAAAGCGGAGATCCATATGCAAAATTCGCCTTACCGAACGATCGCTAAGGCGAAGTGCGGCAGCATGTTTCGCGTTCAACATTTTCAGGAGTTCGAACTGTTCGCGGCGCTCCTCTTGGTCTTCCGTTGATCAGTTCACCACGCCTGCGAAGTGATTCAACCCAACGAAGGATGGTGTTTCGAGAGGGAACAGCTCTATTCCGATGAATGTTGAAGTGGCGACGAAACTCACGATGTAAGACGATGACTGACTCATTATTTCGGACGAAACAATCATAGGCGAAAACGCGGTGCTCCACCATCCAAGGCTCCATAACGACAACTGGTAAAATAATGCTAGGATCTCACGAGTCAAGCGACACCCTCCCCACCTCTCTCGTAGACGGAGGCGGAGAGTACTACCTATCCCAAAAACGTCCGTCCCCTCTGCCGCACCCTGTAGTTCCATGATAGCAAATATAGTTACAAGTTTTTATGAAAATTCAATAAATAATTCTGGATATTGCAGTTTATATACGTCACGTATACTTATAATGAAGATTGTCGGTATTGTTGTTGTATCTTCAGGCACTATCAACATAAGTAAATACAAGTTACACGACCTTGACAATCATGTTGTCATAGTGACAGTGACAAACATAAATGTGGAAATAAAACTAAAAAATGTAGATCTGTAAGTTTACACAATGTCCGTGAATAGAGGCGAATTGAAAGTGTATGTCTGAGGAGATTATTGTGATTTCTGTTCTGTGCTACTTGTTACCCGCCAAAAACGGTAAAGAGGCATATACCTGATTTTAAGGTATAAAAACTGAGCGGTCCTTTTGCAAAAAATGGTTGTTACATCCCATAGAATTCCTTGAGTATTTCAATGATCTGGAAAGTATTGGAAAAATGCTATTATTTTTTTTAAGGACAAGCAGAATCCTGAATACCAAGGCACCGCGGCAGCTATTAGGAGTTAGAGATACTTTGCTGATGCGACTATTGGACGGCCGAAGGATAGTAGAACTGTGAAGAGGCTCATCAGATAGATTGTTCCACAACCTCGATATTCTTGGGTCAAAGGAGTGGTAGTATCGGCCAGTTCTGGATATGATAGCAGAGTGAAAACACGACAAAGAAACGTTATGGCACCTTACCGCTCTCTGAAACTGAAATGTCCGCAGGTCAAATTATTTCCTATTGCAATCAATTTAGTTTTTCACTAGATCTTTCATTCCAGTCGTAAAAACATAATGAAACGTCGTGATCGTTGATTTACGAATATGTTAGGTTAAATGAAACTATACAACGGAAATATTTAAATCATATAAAATCAAATATAGGTGGTATATTAGTAGATAATATATATATATATATACAATTAATTGTTAATTGGGAAATTGGGAAATTGGCAAAACTCTTAGGCTTAAGTTGACTCTTTTGACGATAAAATCAAGCTTGCGGCATTCTCTATGGAGCCTTCATCAGGATTCTGAAAACACAATTGTGATGCTAGCAAAGAAAACAGAACAGATTTAAATTGTCAGACAACTTACTCGTCGGTGAGATTGCAGCCACAAGGTGTTTCAGAACGAACGTAGAGAAGATCGAAATTACAATCAGTATAAAAACAAAAGGACGGGGACATTGGGTTTGTTGTAAAACGACAGATACCTTCGTTATGTTAAAAATATCAATCCACCCGAACAAGTTAAAAATATTACACGAGAGACGACATTTTGTTGAAACAATCGGAATGCAGACTCTAACCTTCTGTATCCGCAACACGTGGAGAGGGGGACGGCACGGAAAGATCGAAGATTGTAATTTAGATCTTCTCTATGTTCATTCTGAAACACCTTGTGGCTGCAACCTCACCGACGAGTAAGTTGTCTGACAATTGAAATCTGTCGTTTTCTTTGCTAGCATCACAACTGTGTTTTCAGAATCACGATGAAGGCTCCATAGAGAATGCCGAAAGCTTGATTTTATCGTCAAAAGAGTCAACTTAAGCCTAAGAGTTTTGCCAATTTCCCAATTAACAATTAATTGTATTTTGTACCCAACTGGTCGTTGGCTTTGGCAATGACTACCGCTCTTATATATATATATATACAGGGTGGCGCATCGAAAACGAAACAGACGCATTTACGATCAGACCCGTCGATTTTGTTTTCGAGGGGGACACAAGTTTGGTAAAAAATCACGTTAACACGTGCCGCCCCCTGGGCGGGGGTGACACCAACCCTAAAATCTTAAATGGAAAGGGGGGTCGAGTGATACCTTATTTTAAAGGTCTTTCAATTCCCTTTATAATGATGTAAAATACATGAGCTTGAGTTCAGTAGTTTTAAAGACTTATTGATTTAAAGCTTAAAGTAGACTTTAATAGGTACATCAGATTAGTTTGTACTACTTTCAGAAGAAATTTGACTAAAAGAATTTACTTAATACGTAAATGCTTTTCTTCACTACACCCATGGTTTGTTTATCATTTTGTTGTTGAAAATAGCTATTGGAGCGTTTTTTGTGCCAAGAAAGTTATTTCTTTGCGATTGATTTCACCAAACTTTGTTGCTAAAATAACATGTAGCACTTTATTACATAAATTAACCATGGTATATTCCACAGCAGAAAGAGTTGAAATTATCGAAATATTTTTCGGAAATAATCAGTGCGCTAATAGAATCGCAGAAATATTTAATGTTCTAGAACTTGTAGCTAAATTTCGGGAAACTGGGTCAGTCGCCAATAAAAAACGCAACATTGAAAATCCTATAAGGAACGAAGCAATAGAAGTGGAGGTTTTAGGGCAAGTTTGTGTAGATCCTACGTTAAGTACCCGCAAATTGGAGACTGTGTGTGGTGTTGATCAACTTATGGTCCAACTTATTCTAAAGGCCCATAGTTTTCATCCGTATAAAATTCACCTGGTATAAGAACTTACTGAAGAGGATTTTGATCGGCGATTACAATTTTGAGAAGATATGAGTGAACGAATTATAAACGATGAACATTTTCTATTCAACACTTGCTTTTCCGACGAATGTTCTTTTTTCTTAAATGGCGTAGTAAATCGTCATAACTGCCGATATTGGTCCGATTCTAATACCAGAATTTATCATGAGGTTCATACACAGCAGCAACAAAAATTAAATGTTTGGGCTGGTATTTTTGGCGATCATTTAGTTGGTCCTTTTTTCTTACTTGGAAATTTGACCGGTGAAATGTATTTCCAATTACTGGAAGACGCCATAGATCCTGCATTAACAGCCATAATTGAAAATCAGAATGATCGGCGGTACATTGCGAATAGGTTGATGTTCCAACAGGATGGTGCCCCACCATATTACGCATTACGGGTTCGACAATATTTAAATCAGACATTTCCTGATCAATGTATTGGTAGAAGAGGTGCCATTGAATGGCCCCCAAGATCGCCAGATTTATCACCTTTGGATTTCTTTATGTGGGGTCATTTAAAAAGCAAAATCTATGCTACTCAGCCAACATCATTAGAAGACCCGCGACAAAGAATTGTGAATGAGTGCCTTCAAATTACTCCTCAAATATTGCAAAATGTGCGGCAACGTTTTGAGCAAAATATTTATTATTGCATGGAGAGTCATGGTGGCCATTTCAAACATTTACTTGCCTAGCGGGTCAGTTTATTCTTCATTTTTAAATTACTTTGCTGCCAAATGTATTGATCTCCACTAATGATGATGTATTAGTTTTATTTAAGCTTTAAATCAATAGATCTTCAAAACTACTGAACTGAAGTACATTAATTTTATATCATTATAAAGAGAATTGGAAGACCTTTAAGATAAGGTATCACTCGACCCCCCTTTCCATTTAAGATTTTAGGGTTGGTGTCACCCCCGCCCAGGGGGCTGCAGGTGTTAACGTAATTTTTTACCAAGCTTGTGTCCCCCTCGAAAACAAAATCGACGGGTCTGAGCGTTTTTCCAAAAAAAAAACTAAGCTGCCAGAAATGCGTCTGTTGCGTTTTCGATGCGCCACCCTGTGTATATATACTTACCTCGTTCGAGAAGACCGTTCTTGATCTGTGTTCGACTAATGATATCTTACTTCTCAATCTAGGTACGTCATGTCCTATTACACACCTGGGGATGTGTTCATTCGCTTCCTATATGCTTCGGCCTATTGTTCATAGTGCACAAAATACAAATCAACAATACGGTCCTGACTTCAATTCGCAATTACATGAACGTTGTAATTACGTATGTTCATAAGTATGTCATCTGCAACTATGCTTATAGTTACAGCTCTGTGGTACGTAATACATTTCCGAACAGATTCGAAACTTCCACGCTGCTAGTATCTAAGCGAACGAGGGAGAGGAAATCATTGAACTTTGAAATTAGTTAAGCCCACAATGAGATTCGTACTACCTCCTCATATTGGAGTATAAGCGCTGTTAGGTGCGTTGTTATAGGTGTTTGATCTTACAAAGTTAAGCAGACTTTCACTTCCCACGTCAATTGATAAGGGAGTATTGTACTCCAGAAAAGATTTGAGAACAAAATATTATGTTTTTAGATGTTGCATGACATTTACATCACGAACATCCTTGTAACTCATCTCTGTTCGTGTGTCAGTCTGTCTGCCTGTCTGTCCGCTAATTGCTGGACCCGCTAATAACTTGGAAGGTACTAGTCGGATTTTGATTAAATTTTGACACCAGGTTATTACTATTCCAAGGACGAAAAAGCTTTGTTGTTTTGGTCATCGATCCAGTGACGTTGGAGCTACAAAAACGAAAAAATAAAATCTGATTCGACGTTCTAGATGCTCCTGAATTTGCAGAAATTCTTTTGTCGGGGCTAAAAATGGGGAGTGGAGGTTGTTGGGGTAGGGGAGTGTATATCTTAATTTTCTTGCGTTAGTAATTTATGCACTACCCGCCCCTGTGATTCTACGCACTTATTAGACTTTATTTCACACTTCATAATCATTTGCCCTATACTAGAAAATAAAATGATATTTTTAACATAACGAACATAGCTAACATATACCTGGGTTGTTGAAGTCTGACCCACCGACTCCGGAACACAGGTTGGCCGCTCTCCGGCTGGCTGGCTGGCGAAGCTCAGCAACGTTGTCAAATAGATGGGGCTATGGACTACCTTTATGTGTCTGTTTGACTGACTTTGTAGCTAACTTTTTTCTCAGAAGGGCTTACCTTGCCGAGCATAATCCTTTATGAGCTGATGACGGCATTGCGTACAAAGTGCGGGGTACTTGACGGGACCGAGGATTCCTGAGTACCTCAATTACATCGGTAGTCATTTTACAATTAATTTATTTTCTGATATACAGGCATACAGAAGTAACGTGTATTTTTCATCACGCATGTGATCAAAGAACCAAGGGGACAAAACAGACAAAAGTATTATAATAGCAACCTTATTCGTATTGGACCTGTTTTCTATCTTATAACTGTGCTCTGAGGTCTGATGCAGGTCAGTTTCCAATATACGAATAATAATTTACATACACATCTGCTGTGAGCATTTCAGGCATTATATGCCTACAGCTGGTTTAAATAAAAAGGCACCCGACCGGGCACAGGCGCCGTAACATTCTGTATATTGTTCAAATTTCTGCCACAGCTGCCGGCACATGTTGTGACACAAAGTGCGTAAGATAATGGAAACGTACCTTCGCGATGCTTCAACCTTTGATCTGTCAAATCGCCTTTTATTTTGCTGGAGGAAGTGCTGATGACACGCATATGAAGATTCTTAAAACTGAAGGTTAGGATTTTTGATTTGTGCTTTTATGGGTCTTGTTAATATGCAAAGACATCATAATTTTAAGGCACACAGAGAGAAACACATATGAAAAAATATTCCCACGGTTTGGACTGTAAGGATCTCAGATTATTCAATGGCATGTAGACCACATCTACTACACAGCTAGCGGTCACATGGTGACTGAAATCTTTACAGCCCCAACCGGTGACTGCAATTCAGTGTTCGCAGTAATTGGTCCTAGTGGTAGATGACGCTTCACGCTCTCTTATTTCAATAGACCTCACACTTTTGATAGTGTATAGCTGCTATGTACGTTGTCTCAGAGATGAGAGACCAAGCCTACACCATGCTATTGAGTAGACAAAAAGAACGAAACAGCATAGTTGGCTGTCTTTGGTCGGACAGACGAAAGCAGCATGTTTAGTTTGTTCCCTAAAATACGTCTGTCAATTTCAAATTGTTATTTTTTCAGGTCGTCACTAAGGGTGACTCCCTTAACAACAAGTTAATGACAGAAAGCTTAGGTAAGTATCGATTTACTTGTTTATTTGACTCACTAGACATCCGCCATTTGAGCACATCTACTGTGAATGATAGCTATATAATCATACAGTATTGTCAACTAACAATCCCCGTATAAGGTGGGTGGACTATGGAAAGCCACGCTAACAAATAAACAGTTATATAGGCTCGTCCTAATTATGTATTGAACGGGTTGGAAAAATTTACTGAGATGGTTATGCATGAATACTATGTTTAGCATAAAGCTAGCAGTCCCATCACTCGATCTTAAAATGCCATAGCAAGTTATAGCAGTTTTCTTCTATTGAAAGGATATATCCAAACAATAGTGATTCTAGGGTCATAAAGTACTGTTATAATAACGTATTTGGTCAACGTTTTCCTGAAGGGATTCAATTTGTGCCAAACATAATCGTTTATGAAGTGATGACAGCGTTGCGTGACAAGTGCAGAGTCAACCTACTTGACTCAAAATGTCAAAAATTCGGGACAGATCTAGCAAAAGAGTGTGTGATTTAGCTAGTATGTCACTATGTCGGACTGAAGAGGAAAAAAAAATATATTTGAATGAGATCTGACTTGAGACATAACATACAAACTCTTTTGTCTATATTCATTTCATCATACGTAAGTAACGATGATCTATTTCTTGTAAAATCAAGTTCTACACCATGGAAGTCCTCGGAACCCAATTTGAAATTCTATATGCAATGTTTTATTATAGATGATAACCCTCAATCCTCTTTCGAATCAAAATCCTATCTCGATGCTTATGTCGCTGACACTAGAACAGGTGCAAATATTCCACATCCGTTGCATAAATCTTTCTCCCTGATATTTCCCATGAGCGGGTGGTCCGCACGACGTTATTGTATTTTCTTAAAATTGCGTCCCACATCTGCTCTAAACTGAATCTATGTCCATGAAATCCTTCGAATAAGTATTCGGAATATATATCGACATGGTATAGGTATGCTCAGAAACGAATGTGTATTTTCGCATTTCTGCAAGACAAGCAATTTATTCCATCTATACATCTGATATGCTACCAATGAACAGGAACGACAAATTTAGTGTAACGGAAATAATAACAAGCTAGCTAGGATTCAAAGGATGCACTGAAATGTGAATTTAACGATAGACGTTTCTTTCCTGCTGGCGAACGTCACCACTGGAGTTTTGACGGGGCGTGAATAGCGTTTGAATATATCTTAGACAATCTTTAACCCTCTCCATAATACCGGCTGCAAACAAAACTAAACTCTACCTGATGTTTACAAAAAACAGTGGCCAATTGATTGCAGAATGCATCATCATTTTCTGGCTTTTGAAATAACCACACACTCAAGGCCGAGCCTATTTAGGAAGGAACGGTATCTGCTCAGATTTCCTTGTATGTTTTTGGAGATTCTTGGGTCCCCTTGGATATTCTTAAATTTTCTCGAATTTCTTTGTATCGCCACCAGACAGAGTCATAAAATGTATTGATTAATAGAGCTGGCAACCATCGTCCATAGTTACGATAGAAATGGACCCCCTGCAAATTAGCAACCACAGTGAATTGCCTCAGGTCTCCTTCAATTACCTTAGATCTTAGATTCCCCCCAAGCTTATTTGTCTCGTAGACGACTTGTCATGCTTTCCAGTTTTGGGTAGACGCCCCACTTACCTAACATTGCATTGCGGTTGGGGGGAGGCGCTTAGAGATGTGTGAACGTGAACCAAACGATCGAGTAAATTCACATGTAGGTTGAAAAACAATAAGAATTTTTCAACAGCAAGAGTCTCAGAAAAGTAAAAAGAATTTCAAGTGATTTTCAACTTTTTGTTTGAAGCTCCGCCGCCCCTGAACCGATTTTCATAATCGGCAGTTATATGTCATCCTTAACTTAACTAGATTAAAAAATCTGTTAGCCTAGGAACCTGGGAATCGATCTTCCAGGCAGACCTATATGCTATAGAACTGGATGTCAGAATGATCAAAGAGCGACAACTGAGACACAGAAAGAACTATAATTATTTTTTCAGATAGTCAAGCCGCACTTAAAGCACTTGACTCCACCTACTCGACATCGAAATTAATATGGAATTGCAAAGAAGCTCTCGGTGACATAGGGGAGGGAAATGAAGTCCATCTCATATGGATACCAGGACACACAAGTCTACAGGGAAAAGAGACACCTGACACTCTGGCAAAGAGTGGAGCTAGCACATCCTTCATAGGGCCTGGGCCAGCGATTGGGATCGCATACAATACGGCTAAACAAATAATCTCTGCAGAAATGGACAGAAAGGTCCATCAATACTGGGAGGGATTAGCAGGGTTAACCCATGCTAAGGCAACTATACCAATCTTGACAAAGAAGGTAACAGACTCTTTGCTATGGCTGAACAGGAATAGCCTTAAAGCTCTAGTAGAACTGTACACTGGTCATTGCAAATTGCGTCACCACATGAGCAGGCTGGGCATGGCGGAAGACGCTGAGTGCAGACTGTGCATGGAGGGAGATGAACAGTCAGGCATGTATTGTACAGAAGGCCTGCAATTGCCAGAATCAGGTACAACATACTTGGAGACGTAGTACTCCAAGCAGAAGACCTGTAGGATATTTCTCCAAACAAGTTAATCGACTTCCTCATGAGTTCGGAGCTACTGTGGGAAATATAAATAGGTGTGAGCTACAATAGACCAAAGAGTCGCAATGGAGGATCGTTATTGATGCACTCACAAGAAACCTAGCCTAACCTAACATAGCTTAACTTTCTGCCGAAACATTATCAAAAGAAGTGCTTTCCAAGCATTTGCGGACATGTCATGTAAAATCCAAAAAACGCGATATCTCATTTTCAAAATTATTTGTGATTATACCAATTGGGACGAAAGCTACTACAATTTTCAATAAAAATAAACAAGGTGATCCATCCAAATAAACTTTTCCTAGACATCCTGTATACAAAAAAGACATTGCTTGAAAACTTGATATTGGATCCTATAACTTGTTGGGCGCCATCTCTTTTTTTTAATGCCTTGGGGTCATGTGATACGTGATTTCAAAGTTTCTTATGAGAACTAATAGAATATAAAATCGCTATCTTCAGTAATGGCGGACTGACAAGGTTCCAAAGTTGAGCGTTTTGTACATTAAATATAACTTGACAACTAAGCTCCAACACGTTACAGGATGTTATAACAATATCCTTTTTTAGAAGGATCTATTCGAACGTGCAATAAATTATGGGTCATCCACATTAAAGAAAATTGCATTTTGACTTTTTGTTTCAAGAGGAAAATTTCATATTTTATTAAATATTCGGATAGATCCTTCCAAGACAAGTGTTTGTGAATAGTATCTTGAGGATTTGTTATTGAGCTATAAGGGACTCCGTTTATAAAAACTTTCAATTTCTGACAGCGTGCCAGGTAGCCACTTTGAAAGGTAGTAACAGTATATTCTAGATCTAGAGTGATAAAGTACCATCAGGTGCTCCAAAATTAGATATCACACGACCCCCTTTCGTTAAAATGTTCCAAATTGGCACCCAAATCTTGAAATTTTTTACTGCTACTCTGATGTGAGAATATAGTATTCATGAACCAATTTCTTTACCGTGCAAAAATTAAGTAGGAGGGAACCTTTTTAAAAGCACTGTATAGCTTTTTGTCTATACAATACGGTTAGAGTGGCTGAATTTTAGCATGGCGCCACGTACAGACGCGTAACTTTGTTTATGCCATGTGAATGCTGAATGAAATAGAAATAAACTGTTCCAAGTGAACATTCCACCGAGAGGACCAACTGATTGCTCAAAGCGTTGGTCGTCAGAGATGACGGCACTATTTGCATTCCATGCATATTCATAGTTAGGTACTTTTAAATATGAGAAATGCCGGAAGTTCGAGCTACTTTTCTTAACAAAGGCTTTACGGTGCAAACAGCTAACAAGGTGGTGTTATCTTACTTTGCTACTAAGCTTTGTTTGTTTAATATTATAGGCTGACCTAACCCATGTTCAGCCTTCGAAAGAACAAGGCCATAAGCGGGATTTTAGGCCCTGAAAATGACTTAAACTTTAGGTTGATCGGATCTATGAAATTATAGCTTTTTAAACATTTTAGAAGTATATACTTTAAACTTTCAAAGAGATTTGTCTTTGAATTTTAGAAGGTACTTGATTGTTTTTTATAAGACCAAATTTCGTAATTTTGTCAGTTTTGTCCAAAATTCGCCCTTTTTTGAATATTTAACTAAGTAATTTTATATAAAAAATACGCAACACTTTCTACCTCAAATCTATAATAAAATAAACTCAGACACAAAATATATACTGCGCCTTTATTGTTCAACATTTGTTTTTAATGTGAGCGCAGTCTAGTAACACTTTTATTTTCGTTAACATAAAATGCAAAAGTTGCCAAGTCAGGGCTCATAAATACAGTGAAGTGCTAAAATAAAAAATGGTGATGAAATTTCAAAATACATATTTTCTTAAGCACTGAAAAAATTTTGCAGATGCGATCAACTTGAAATTTGAGCTATTTTAATGGCCGAAAACCCCGCTTACAGATATAATTCTGATGTAGTTCAGTGCGGATGGGATTCGAAAATTCAATTCTTGATTAAAAAGTTCGCGACGACAATGCATGGAGTAAAACACGACTGTAGCCGATAATTGTTTTTTTTGTTTTTTTAGTACAAATGTACATTTTCTGTAATGTAATTTCTAGAAAATGTGTAAGGGAGTATTATTTTGAGTTTTGAATACCTTTTTCAATATGTGCCACCGGTGGTACACGACGGCTTTGATGATTCTTTTTTTGGCCACTGAGGGAAATAAAAACTTCAGAACACAAGCGGTGTCAAAAAGGCTAGAGATAAAGCCAAGCATGTTTCTACATTTTGTAAAGATTGTCCAGAGCAACTGACACTATGTCTTCAATGTTTCAATGAAATTCATAAGTAAAGTTATGTTACCTACCTAAATATATAAGTGCTTACTTCCACTGTTAGAAAAAAAAATTGCGTTATTTTTCACTAATTATTTTAACCAATTACTTAGTTTAGTTACTTCATATGGTCGTTACAGTGTGTTTTAGAAATAAAATCTTTTGAAAATCATGGATTTTTATACCTCTAATTAGTATAATTAAATGTCATATAAAATTCACAATTATAGCCAAATGCGGCACCGGTGGCGCACTAGTGTGTATTTACTATATCTATAGCCATATGCCGAATATACAATTCCTTACTACAAGCCGTAAGGATTGGTACTGCGTGGAATAATCAATTGGCAGTGTACCACCGGTGACCAATGACGATTTTTGGCAAGATACGCGATGTACCACCGGTGTACCACGTCGTCGTGAACGTGTTAACTATGCGGTCATTTGATAAATTACTGGAAACTGACGCAACTGACCTTCTACGAAGGTGGTCCCAGAAGTACCCAACGAAGAAAACAAAAATTTTGTAAAAAATTTATTTATTTTTCAACATAATCTCCTTTGAGCTCTATACACTTTTCCCAGCGATGTTCAATAAGTTCGATACCCTTTTTGGAATAAGAACTGTCTTGCTCCTCAAAATAGCCATTAACTGCCGACTTCACTTCTTCATCGTTAGAAAATCTTTGACCACTGAGCCATTTTATGAAGTTTGGAAACAGAAAGTAATCCGAGGGGGCTAAATCTGGTGAATAGGGTGCATAAGGTAGCAATTCAAACTTTAATTCGTTAATTTTGGCCATTGCAATAACGGATTTGTGAGCTGATGCATTATCTTGACGAAACAACACTTTCTTCTTAACCAAATGCGGCCGTTTTTGCTTGATTTCATCGCTCAAACGTTGCAATAAGTTCGCATAATACTCGCCGTTGTTAGTTTTACCTTTTTCAACATAGTCAATGAAAATTATCTCACGTGCATCCCAAAAAACCGACGCCATAACCTTGCCTGCAGATAAAACGGTCTTCGCCTTCTTTGGAGCCGGTTGTACCTTTTGAGTCCATTGTTTTGATTGTTCTCGTGTCTCGGGTGTGAAGTGATGGATCCATGTTTCATCCATGGTTATGAAACGACGCAAAAATTCTGCTTTGTTGCTGTGAAACTTCGCTAAACACTCAATTAAAACATCTTCACCACACTGTTTTTACTCGGTTGTGAGCAAGCGCGGCACCCATCTTGCACACAGCTTTCTCATGTCCAAATTTTCAGATAATATGCGATCAACCGCACTTTTTGAAATGCCTACTATGTCTGCTAGCTCGCGCACTTTCAGTCGACGACCATTCAGTACCGCTTTGTGTATTTTCTTCACCATTTCTGGAGTCGTCACCTCATTTCGTCGACCACTGCAATGCTCGTCTTGGCAGCTCATACGCCTCGTTTAAACTCTGCTACCCAATAATTTACTGTTGTGAACGAAGGAGCAGACTCACCCAGAGTAGAATCCAGTTCAGCTTTGTTCTCCATTTTCACAAATTCACTGAAAACGTTCCGCATTGACGGCTGCCAAACAAATACTAAACAACGTGGCGTCTTCAAACTTGACACATATGCTTTATAGGTTGCGTACCTTCTAATACAATGATATTTTCCAAACAACTATCGCCATCTCTACGTCAGGCCGGGTACTTCTGGGACCACCCTCGTATTAGCCACCGTTATCTTTTTCTGCCTATTATCAACTAATGTATGAAGTCCATATATGGGTACAGTGTCCAAGTTAAAGCTCATGCCCGCGTTTTGACTTAAACATCACCTTCACAAATACTGACAAAACGATGGTACATACTATAGTATATTTAACATTGTTATTAAGCTTTATTATAACAATATAGTAGTGTCTCATGTTCGATTTATTTATTTCCAGATTTACAATTCTAGTACGAAGGAGGCTTTTTGTGCATAATTATTTCCAACTAATTACGAGATTAATCAGGATTGCTTTAGAAATTGAGAGAGATTATTGCTTATCGCGAAATAAACCATGTAAAGTCAGAGTCCGCTCGAGCGAATAATATTACGTGAATAGGACATTAGGACATGTCTACATAGGTAAGGGTCGTTTGATAACGTAATATTTGAGTACTATTCCATAAGAGACACATAAATGGATTTTGTATCAAAGCTATTTTGAAATGCACTGTTATTTCACTTGGAAACATTTTACTCCTAGACATCATCAGCTGAACTTAATCGTTACGTTGCTCTTCATGATATTCCCTTTTTCATGAAATTCGTTTGTTTTGACGTCATTGAACGTATTGTGGCTATAATTACAATGAACAGTACACTTATTTTCTACACCAAAGATCCACTACAACAGATTTACCACTCGCCAAATCGGCTCATTGAATAACCGACACGTGTTCCATTAACTGTGTTAGCATCTTCAGGGGATGATTAAGTATGTTTTTTTTAAGATTAAAACAGTTTGGCGAGTGGTGGCTGTTGCACTGATATTTGTTACGCCAAAGAATCCAACATCAGATACACTCCAAAGATCCAGTTGAATGGTGTAGTTCCAAAAAATTCTATTTTGGTGGAATATTTTACCTTCGAAAACTATAATCTGACTATTTTCCTTTTTTTGCGTGAACGGAAAATTACAAAGCTTGACCTGCAACATCAAAGGTTAAACGTCAAACTTTGCCACAGATTTTAGGCATAAGCTCTAGCGTGACGCAATATATTCCTCGACGGGGTTGACTTGAAAGTATGGTCACACTCCATTAGAATTCGGAATAAAAAGCTGATACCTCTGGTGGATGGTACATGATTTAAATGCATTCTCCTGGAACTTATCATATGGTTTTCATGTTAATAGAACTCCATGATCTTCTGGCCACATATGTGCCATATACTATATGTACCAATTATTGTCAATTTGAAAAAGGCTAGTGTGGTGATCGATACGTCAGTGAATAGTTGTACATGCTTCTTTTGGCCAAAAACTCGTAGCGTTCTATTGAATTAGCTCTCTTTTCCCGCGCAATATTGGTCACAGCATTCATGTTTAGGAAACTGTTCGTCGTCGGGGGTTGGAAGATACCGGCAATTAAAGGTTGAAGAGCGGGAGGGGTGCGCTCGTCTCACGATTCAGGTCTACCAAGCTAACTTTTACACCAAGGTACAGCAATTCAAAATATTTCATTAGTATCCATCTCAACAATCAGAATTGTTGATTATTGTCAGAATGTAATGTACGCCGTCTAAAGATTTACTATGTTATTTTGCCCTTCAAATAAATATGTCTTTCCACAAACAAATAAAAATCTCCATTGATAATAGTGTGAGTAGTGTAGGTAAGCCAAAAAGCTCATACGGAGTATCGCTCAGGATTATATACGAGGGTCATTTTTCGAGTAGAAACCGTTTTTCAATGGAGTCAGAGAATATTTATTTGTGAATAAAAAATGTATCACAAACAAACTTGCGTCGGTGTTCTTGCCGCAAGGTGAGTTCGGCGTTGTCATGAAGCAGAACGATGCCGCTCTACCTGCAATTTTGAATAGTAGGATAGCGCGCACAATTCAATAATCTACTGTGCGCTCGCAACAATCGGCTAGTTTGCTGATTGAAAAAGATATCAGTATAACCACACAACTAACACCAACAGAGATGTGAAACATACTGGCAACGTAGTGAAAGATTGGCCAAGCATGTCTGAGGTTGAACGGGTGTCACGTGACAGGATGCGCGGGCACGATGCACAATGGGTTCTTGCTTTAAAGATGGCACTTGTAACTGCATAAGCCGGGGATTCCTCGCTTAGGTCGACTCAGTCTCGTGTTGACAAATCTTGCATGGCCGCCTGTTTCACATCGTAAGCTCTATCTGCGGTTAGGTTTTTCTGTATTTTTTTTGCTATTTTCGCCAGTGTCGTAAAACGGGAGACGAGTTAGAATCGAACCACCTCGAGTGAATCGAAAGCTATTGCAATGTTCGAACTAAACGATGCGGCAGTCTATAACGACCGGAATTTAATCTACCGCATTATTGCCGATTGGGCCATTGGCTGCTATGCTGTGGTGATTGAGCCTTCGTAGGACTTTCCAGTTTGCTTTGGACTATAAAATTTTTCATTGCACCTATACATAAAGCATAAAAGTGGCATTTCCACTTCCACGGGTTATTCAGTCCCGCTCATTCGGGTCTAATGGCGTTCCTAACAAAAATTACAGTATAAAACGTGAACCGTTGATAAGACAAAAATAGATATTATACCGTTTCCATTTGATTGGCGCTGCTTGACAGAGTAATAAGCAACCTGGAATACTCACTAAAACATTGAGTACGTTAGGCGTAAAATCATGAAAACACCGCAACCCAGAGACGGATTTATTGAGCTTTTAGTTGCGTTTAAAATACTGTATATCAAAAAATTTATTTACTAATCTTGTGCGCCTTCTGATTTTCAACTATTTGTAATTTTTTGTTGACTCAATAATATTATATAAACAAAATTTTAATAGTGAAGTTAGATACCTTAACTCATCTTGTCATAAATGTACGATGATCAAAGCAGCCTAAAAGCCTTTGTTGAAAAAGTAGCTCTAACTCCCAGCTTTTCTCATATTAAAAAGTAAATATAAATATGCATGAAATGCAAATAGTGCTGTCATCCCTGACGGCCAACGCTTTGAGCAATCAGAAGGTTCTCTCAGTAGAATGTTCACTTGGAGCAGCTTATTCCAATTTCGTTTCACATTCACATGACACAAATAAAATTACACGTGTGTACAAAGGAAAATTAACTCGGTGTTTTCTGTGAAACATTCATCGAGCGAAGTTGCATGGAATAAAATCTGTATGAAACGCCATACTTCAATAAAAAATTACGATAAAATGGTATAAGCATCTCGTTTTTAAAAATGGAGGCTTATCTAGTTTATAGCGATATCTTTAACGTGCCCAATAGTCGGAAATACAATTTATTCTCAACTGCAAGTCGTACCACACCTAGCAGCAAATAAATCTGGCTTTATGAGCTTTCTAGACAAATATTTGGAAAATAAAACAGATTATTGACTTACGCAGTTCTGTAGTAAAGTTGTGACGGCGCTCAAGTTCATACATTTTTTTCACACTCGATTAATTGCTTTCCTTTATAAGTGAAGTTATAAGTGAAATGATATAAAAAACAAAAATGAAATGGAGAATCGGAGTTTTATCAACTTTTGAGCTAGACATTTCAAAAACTAATGCATAGGAATATCCCACATGATCTGACCAGAGCAATAATGAGCTTCCACAAAAAATTTAAAAGCTATGTAGGGACAAGTCTCGCCAATTATGAACAAACAATACATTGCGTCAGTCAAAATCTCGGAATGCACATTCGGCGACGACCTTGTTGTATTTGCTCTTAGTCAAACGAAATTGGAGAAAATAGTACTCATATTGAAAGAACAACTCCTGCACAAAAATCTGAAAATCAACACGGTAAAATCTAAAGCAATGGTTTGTGAGAAAACTGGAAAAAAATCAATATTGAGCTTAACAAATAGCGTATTGAATAGGCAGATAACTTCAAGTACCTAGGAGGTCACATACGAGTAGATAGTAGGTGGTTGCCTCGACAGAGGAATTGACAAGAGTATAGAGAGCACATCACCTCTATATCACACCTTGAAAAACTCATTTATTGAAAAAATATCCCTTAAAACAAAAATGTTAATATATAAACCTGTATTCATACCAACTTTAACTTTCGGATCAGAAACCTGGATCCACACCAAAAGCATGAGAGACATACTGCACTAGAAGAGGATCAGGAATGAAGTTATACACATGTCAGAGAAACAATCAAAGTAGAGACAATTATATCCATAATATAACGCAGCCAACTGGAATGGTGTGGCCACCTTGTTAGAATGAATTTCAGTAGACGCACTAAAAAAATATGGGAAGCAAGAAGCCAAGAAGCCAGAGGAAGAGAAAGGCCATGTCCGACATGGCACGAGACAGTAGATAATACAATGAGGAAGAGGGGAACAAACAGGAGAGAAGCCAAAACGACAGCACGAGACAAGACGAAATGGAGAAAGTTCGTTTACAAACTCTAGAGTATGATTCCTTTGACGTACACATTTATTCTATCACAATACTGATATGTTGTAACAAGCCGTACACTTTCGGGTAGACAGAGGTATTTTGATTATATATTTCAAAAACAAGACGCTGAATTTTCATTAAATTTTCTAATAACGTTTTCATTTTTAATTTTTTGTGGAAGGGCCGATGAATGCGTCGCCACTAAGGCCTAAATGCTGATGAGTACCGTGAGGTTGTAGTGGGATCAGAGGAACGCTAGTAAGGGGATACGTCTGCATATGACATACAGTACTCGTAGATACAATATTTGTGTTTGTTCCGTCATCAAATTCGACTTGTTTCTAGAGCATAAAACCAATTAAATAATAACATATAGGTGCTAAGATGGCCTCTTGGTGAAAAATAGAATACCTAAGTATATTATTCAAATAACTTTATGGTAAGGCACATCACAATCATACTACGCTATACAGGGTGTTAATTAAGTATGCACCATAAATTTAACAGACGATTCTCTGAGTAATGTTAAGACAATAAGTTCGTATAAACGTAGGTCCGCAAATTATTCGTTTTCAAGGTACAGGCTGTTGAAATTAAAAAAAATCGTTTTTCGTAAATTTCCTAAATATCCTTTACATAATTTTGTTGTAATCTGGCGATGCTATTTTTAAGATTAAGGAGCTAATTTATTAAGTCCAGTGGCGTCTGGAGTGGAATCTGAACAAATACTTGTGACAAAGAAATGTGTGAATTTGTGCAATTTTTATTATGTTCTTTGGATTAAGCAAATATAAACATGTACAACATGTAAATTATTTTCGTATCTTGCTTAGTTTTCGACAAAAAAGTCAAGTTAATTCAATATCCCTGGACCACACAAGGAATATGGAGAAAAGATTCTTTTGGAAATTATTATTTTTTCAATTTTTTTATTACTAATTATGCAAAAACAACAACAAATACTAAGTAAAATTAACATCTAGACTAAACGAATTTAAATAAATTAAGTGTTGGTAATGACCCCCTTAGGCTTCAACACAACCGTCTAGGCGCCTTATCATTGAATTACGCACTTTTTCCCGAAAACTATTTGCCCTCTTTGTGTCTTTTCTTTGAATTGCGTCAGTTCATAAAACTATTTTTAGACGTACTTTCTACAGGGTGTCCGGTAAATAGTACCACAAAAAATAAGGATGATAGATGAAGGGCAGATCTACAACATACCAAAAATGGGCCCTAGTGAAGGTTTTTGAGATTTAATTTTTTTGTCTCTCTTTTTTTAATCTATCTTTTGTTGCTATGCCTAGAAATAACAGGATATCTGTTTGTTTGTTTTGCAAAATATTCTCAGATAGTTGGCCTGCCATTCGAAATATCATTTTCCATAAATACAGGTAGATAAACTTGACAAACCATTTTCTTCTTCCTAATTTTTATTTTAGAAAACTACTTTACACTTTACTCAACTTTGGTATTCAGCAATGAAATAAATATGTACTAGACTGCTACTGCAAAGTACGGCGATAAACTACCTGCCTGATCAGCAACAAAATATATATCAAACCTGGAAATCTTTCGAAAAAGACAAAAAAAAATAATATCTCAAAAACTGTGAAGCTTTTACTAGGGTCATTTTTTGGTATGTTGTAGATCTGCCTTTCGCCTATCTTTCCCATTGTTCCTCGTACTGTTTACCGGACATCCTGTGTATGTACGGTCCCTTTTTTATTCACCCTATATTTTTGGAACATAGTTGTTCAAATATCATCTGATGAAAATGCGGTGACTGGAAGTCTTCTGCAATTGCCGTTAATATCCGCGTGAAACTCATCATTTGATCTTACTTGACACCACACACTTCCACCTTTCCGTCCGCCTACTGTATACATCTGCTGGCTCTGTTCACTTGCTGTAATATGACTGTAATGTCTGGTACCCTTGGAATTTCAGATAACGCCCCTCGAGGTACAAGCCGTTAACTAGTTTGTGAAAACTTTCTGTCTTCTAAGACAACGAACGCCTGAGGTGGGGCCTTTGTTTACGGAATGGCTCTGCGCCGGGATTTATCCACCTTGCACGGAGTGATATGTACCTACAATCTGCTAAGATTACGTGAGATGAACTTTTGGCCGACAGTGGGTGCAACGAATACAGGGTAGGTTTCAAGTAAGCACATTGACTAACTATACCATGTGCGTAGCTTAACTTCCATACGGGAAATTGCACAGTGGGCAAGCCTATCCGTAACGCAGCTGCTGCTCGCTCAAGCATGAATTGGGTTATAGAGAACATTTGTTCAGACTGTCGACATTGTAGTTACATGTTCAGGCACTACTATGTTTTAAATCTAAATTCATGGCGGTGAGACAAAATACATAAGTTTCGGTTTACACAAAGGCCGAATGCAGATGTTTGTATTTATGAAAGAAATTGCTGTGACCCGGATAAAACCATGAAAATGAGTTTATAAAAGATCTGGTTCATCAGGGGGCGGTCACCGAGCAGCAGCCAAGCAGTCGCATTGGCTTAGGCTACATTGTGCCGTGAATTGTTAATTAAAAAAAAAATAGTCCCTGAAGTTGGCCTATGTGATGGGTGTCGAAAAATTCACGCAAGGCTTAAACTAAACAGTTTTCTTCTGTAGATTAGTTTTTACTGAATTATAAAGTACACATGATGGGTTGTGTATAGATTAGTATGCCAGGCGAATGGCCTTCTCGACCTTGCATACCATTCGTTGAATTTTTCATGACTATTTTGCATAAATGTGGTTGAATTTCAGCGGTGAATTTCCTATTTAAATGCACGAGTGTTTGCGGGCTTATTGGCATAGACCTTCAGCTTCAAATAACCCCATTAAATCACATGATCTGGGGGAGCAGGCAATTGAATTGCTTTTCAGGGCTATATGCCACCTGGAGTGAGGTACATTGGTGAAGAGCAGAAAGGGAGGTGGGGGTGAGGAAAAGTGAGCTCGAATGTTTTTATTCTGGGAGCATCTGGGTATTAGAAGTAGATATAAGTTTGTACAAAAATATTTCCGTAACACAAGAATAAAATCTCGTCAAATAGATTGACACATTCATATACAATTATTTTCAATCTTTTTTTATTTACGTATACATTCTAGGTTTGTGAAAAACGTTTCCGAATGTGCATCACAATATAGTTCCAGCCACCAGACAAGACTACGACAAGAATCTTTTTCATTATATCCAATAGTAACAGAAAATTCAAAAACATAGTTTATGAAGATTGATGGAAATTGGTGACAGGAAATTGTGTGATAGAAATATCTTTAACCAACAAAAAACTTTTTTAATGAAGTTTGAATATCTTCGCGATTGCAAAACTTTCTTGGTTCATGATATTAAGTAAAACGACTTAGTATCTCCGATACATTCATGTGATTTGATTACAGGCATCGAGTAGTGGCGAGAGACCTGGATGCTATCTGGTCGAAAGAGTGGGTTAGGTCTGTCTGTTTCTTAACCTTTAGAAAGCAACGCTTTGATGATATTTTGACGCAACATATCCACTGTGCTAAAGACGAGAAAATAGATGGTTGTAGTTTTTGAAAATTGTTCCAGTGATAGCGGAACTATAGGCAAATAGAGGGAGAGCAATGTTTCAGAACTTCTTGCTCATTTTCAAGAGGTTTCTGGAGGGCCTGAAATGCCTACCCCAGGCGATCATGGGCTTTGCTAGTTTTGCGCGACGCAATATTAAAATATATTAAAACTATGCCTTTGTGCGATCTTGGCGGAAAAACAAGTGAACCACTTCGAAGGCAGGTAAATATAAATTATATTATCATTGTCAATGATGTGTACTTTGAAAAAGGCCAACGTAGCGACCGAAACGTCAGTGAAAAGTAATTTTAACGGCATCAAGTTTCTTTGGTAAGAGAAACATGAAGTTCAATAACGTTTTTTTGTGTCCGTCAAATTTCACCTCCTGTATGAGTGTAATATGCTGTTAACATATCCAAGTACCCTCTGTACAGCGGAGCAAACCCAAACAATCTCTATACACCTAAAATGAATGCCTTGCGTTCCAGCAGAGCAGAGCATCCCAGCACTGAAACGGATTGGTTACGGTGTTCGTTTTTCAGCTGCCATTATTTTCCACGAGATTAATGGTGAAGAACACCTTTGCAGACATCTCTGGCTGGGAGAATCTATATAACGAATCCTCTAAAGGCGGATTTGTCTTTACCATATATCTTGCCGAAATTTACTGACCGATTAGAATGTTTACCTCTTTGGTTCTTTTCCAGCCATTTTTCAGATAGAGAGGGAATTGGGGAAATTAAAGGCATTTGGAACATCGATAAATTTTATATATAAGTGTGTCTAGGTCTATAGGTTACCTGTTACAAACCTTACAAGCTAACTTTTATTATTATTTCATACATCACACTTTTTGTTACGCAGATTGAAGGTTCCTAGGTACTTTTAATGTATTTTTTTGTCACTTTGACTATCCCAGTAACAAATGTATTGGAAGGTGAAAAAAGGAGTTTCAATTCAAGTTAAATAAAAGTTTCGCCACGAGCATTTAGGAATATAACAAAAGAAGAAATTGACATAAAGTAAGTAGACTTTGCACTTCCCACGCAACGTTGTCAACAACAGTTCATGAAAAAAATATGTTCTGAACAAGTTCATCTCTTAGAGAAAAGGAGAGGACATGATCTGGCGCGAACACATGTCATCAATAGCGATAGCTGCTGGGAAACAGGCTATTTGTTTAGAACTAAGAAGTACTCCACTCTGTACAAGACCCAGATAAAACCTAGCCTCCGTCCCGACTACACTATCCATGCTAGATGGTGTTCAGAGGACTGTCTGATTGATGGATGACTTTCTCTAACGATCAGTATCGAGAACCTTTCGCACGGCAACGGCGGGCCGTCGGCAATCTAGCTCCCTTCTACTGCTATGTCAACGGGTTTTGCTCCTCACAGCTCTCCTCCATGATGCCACTATGCGATGTGCCTGCCAGATAGTCCCGCCTGACTGCGGCCTCCCATCCTAACCGTGTTGAACTAAGTACATTTAGTACTGGCCGATACGACCGCTCCTTTGTCCCTAAGGTAACGAGATTGTGAAACAGACTAGCTGAGGAAGCTGTCTCAGTTCTACTAACCTTGAGCAGTTCAAAAATCTTATTAACAAAGTTAGCCGCGTTGCCATGGTATGTAGGATTCTGCCTATAATGAAAAATAATTACCAGACACTGCTACGCGTCGCGTATTGAAAAATCTCAGCGAACCTGTAAGCTTCCTAGATGAATAAAACTTTCTTGAGCAATGTACAGAATTTCATTAACATTTTGTTTTGTATCCTGCGTGTGTTGCAAATAGTTAGTTCGGCTTTCATAAACTGTTATGTAACTTATATATGTTTGCGAAAGCTTCGCGAAGCTTCCTGCTGTGTGTCTACGAACTATTACATATTAGATTTTCGGACTGTAATTCAGATCTGGAATCCTAATACAACTTCTCAAACAGAAATGTAAACATCTATCCAGCTTATTCACTGGCTGAAAATCAGTTTTCGAGCAAGTTGGCTTCCAGAAGTTTGTCCTCGATAGGCGTTCAGTTATTTTTTCCGCGGTAAGACGTGCGGGGCACCGTAAAACAACAGACCACGCAAAACGTAATCCACTTTCGAAAGAACGTACAGCATAAATGAGAGAAACTCGTGAAAAACCTCCAAAGCCGGGATTTGAACCCAACATGTCTAATTTGTGGAGTGTTGCCAATTTACACCACATGGCTTGGTAGTAAGTTAAATCTTTGCAGAGTCGGAGGTCGAAATTTCAGCAAAACAGAGCTTATGTAATTACCGTATAAACCAAGATCCCGGGACGGCCAGATCTTTGTTATTTTATAAAAGCTGGAAGTTTCCTGTACATGTTTCCAACACAGGTAAAAACAGCGACCATCAAATTTGGATAGTAGTTACGCTGGCAGTTACCAGGCAGCAAAGCTAAGTAAAATAGTACATCAAATCCGTTGAAGCATATAGGCCAGTTATTTTTATATTCCCTTCCGAATATCATAAATCTATTGCCAGACAATATGGCTTCAACCACTTCCAGACGCCCCTAAACTTTAATAAACTAGAGCTAAACCTTCAACATATATAGTATGAAAAGTGAAATTTATATGTTACTATCAAAAAATGTTACCTCAGTAGTAGTAGTCAGATAGTTTTAATGGTTTTCACCTTGCGCCATACACATTGGAAGTCTGCGGTAGGTGCGAGCGCGAGTTTGGTCTATTACGATCTTTGACTGCGTTATTTGTTATATTGTATTATGAGCCTATTCAGTTGATCCGGTTTATCAAGAAATGGTATGTTGACTATGACATATAACAAAAGGCAAACAGGTATATCATTGTTATGTCAAATTGTTATCCATAATTGTTATTATTTATAATGGTATTAACTTGGTTAAATTGTTAAAGAAACTGACGGAGCAGGCCATACAGACAACAATCATGCCTCGGACTGGAGTATTGGTGACTTAAATTAAATATTTTTTGTTATCCAATAAAACGTTTTTCTTTAAAATAATGTAATAATATAAGAATATTTCTTACTTTGTGTAACATGGCTATGAACATAATAAAACCATTTTTCCATTGAATTTCTTGCTCAATACTGACAAGGACGCCCAACTCGGTAGTTTTTTTTTCAAGAAAATTGCATCTATTGCTGTCTGTGTATTGCTGTAAAAATAACCCCCCCCCTAGGCCATTTTAGACTTTTAATTGATTTTTGGACATACAAAATTTTTTGAAAATTGATTCTTTAATCATAAGATATTTTTTGATAAATAAAAAAACACTGTTCGATATATAAAACTGTCTGACTACTGAGGCAACATCTTTTAAAAATCCTATAAGTAACACTACGAGTTTCATCTGTTATACTGTCACGAAAGATCAACTCTAGTTTATTAAAGTTTACAGGTGTCTGGCAGGGGGTCGAAACTTTACCAAGTAGCTGACAATGTATGACGCCATTTATAATATCATTCTGAAGGAAATTGGTTATTGCTGCTTCTCCTGCCGTATTCAACGAGTATGGCAGAAAGTTTAGAATCGCTCATCATTTCATAAAAGAAATCTTTAGCGGTAGAAAAAATTTGAAAAAGTAAACAATAGTAGGAAGGGAAAAGAAAAGCAGAACATACACCTAGGTACTACTGAATTGATTTTTGGTTTTGACGAATTCTAAGATGAATTTCGATTTATATTACATAAATACATAAGTTGGGTCGCCTAAATCCCTGAATTAATAATAAATATATGTGCATTATTTGAATACAGTTACCAATCCAGATAAACAAATTACCATAGTTAATTTTCAGCAAATTTCGCTCCAGTCCAAATGACCGCTTGTAAATTAGCTGGTGAATTAGTTTAGTTACTATTATCCCTTTTGCGCTAGGGATAATTGCAATTAAAACACGTGTTCGGTACAGACATGGTCGCAACCGGTTAACATAATTTATTACCCTTTTAAATACAGCTCAGCCACAGTACCCATATGTGCGTTCAAAAGGATGTTAGCGAATGAATAAAAAATGATAAAAGCTTGGAATTTAAGGTTGTCAATAATTGAAAACACGTAAAAACCATATATCAATTTTGCGGTCTCGGCGTCATGTATTTTTAGTGTTTCAACATAGGTGGATGCGCGATATAGGAAAACATTGCACGCTCACCATTTTATCTTCGATGGAATGGATGTTCTATCATTGTTCTACTCAGTTCTACATATAAAAATGATCTATAGTAGACTGGAAATTGCTCTGAATGGATACATAACGTGCTTTGTATAACTTTTGTGGTGACAAATTACTAAAGGCATTTCGTATTGTATTAGTAATAGAAATAGAAATAAATTCAAAACTGCATGAATACGAGGTCTGTAAATTAAGTAATGAGATTGGCAACGTAACGTTCGATCTGGCAACACTGGAGGCGACAGGCTTAAAGGGGAGACAGGGAAACGTGATCCGCCGTCAGAACAAGTTTGAATTCGCTGGAGTCATTTGGTTCTCCGTAAGGATTTTTTTTTTTGTGGAACAATTTTTCCTATTGTGTTCTAAAAATGGATAACATCAATTTCCAGCAACGGTGTGCCATCAGGTTTAGCTCTAGACTTAGGCCCATATCGTCAGTCGTCCCTACAATTGTAGGGCGCGTTTATGGCCTCCTTGATTGTCATACTTCTTTCTCTCCTTCAAAAATTTCTAGATTACACTTGTCCCGTGTCAGCGTCAGCGTCAGCGCTCTCCTATTGTGAAGATATGTTTTATTTTTAAATTGTAGGAAATTTCAGGCTGATAAAACATGATATAACTCAAAAGCAAGCACAATTTGATGCAAATGGATGTTTGTGACATAACCTCAAAATAGAGTTCTGACACGGAGAAGTAGAAAACTATGACAATCAAGGAGGCCATAAAGCCGCCCTATAATTGTAGGGACGACTGACGATACGGGCCTTAGACACAGTGCAACAGAAAGCCTTGCTAAACTTCAGCAGCCCTACGGAGATAATGTTTTGTCAAGAGCCCAGGTTTTTCAGGCACTTCAAAGCATTTGGAATGTAAACCACGGAGCGGAAGGCCTTAATTTTCAAGAACCGATGAAAATATCGACAGAATCCGGGATCTAGTGCATTCAGATCGTCGGTTGACAGTCATAATGGGGTAAGAGTTAAGTATGACTCACACCACCGTTCATCAGATCAAAAACCACTGGGTTTGTATCACGATAATGCTCCTTGTCACACAGCAATGTCAATAAACGAGTTTTTAGCCAGTAAAAATATTCCTGTGGCTCCTCAGCCTTCTTATTCGCCTTACTTGAGTTCTTGTGTTTTTTTCTCTTACAAAAGTTAAAAAGTCACCTCAAGGGCACTCATTTTGATCAGTCGAAGGCTATTCCAGTATCTGAGTTCCAGCACTGCTATAAGGAGTGGGATAACCGTCCACAGCGCTATGTGGCTTCAGAAGGAAGTTATTTTGAGGGTGACAATATAAAATTATAATTATAATTATGACTCACTTATCACTTAACTTACAGACCTCATAAATCAACTGATATGGCACTGCGTGTTGGGATAAAGTCGTGCTTTATAGAGAGTGGAGTGAACCTATTCGACGCTATGGTAAAGTCCACGTCGTTGCTCTTGATATTACAAAAGCTTTCTATCAGCTTCTCAAGTAAAATGCCATTCTATCGATCTAAGACCTCCATGGAACCCCTTACAGATGGCAACTTCTCCTCTAGTCGTAAGGTATCCGTCGTAATTGATGGGGTCACCTATTCAGCCTACACTATTAACGCGTATGTTCCAAGGGTATTGATGGTGGCTTCAGCACTAATACTCATTAACGAAGTGTTCTTCGACAGATAAATCCGATCCACAGCTTTGTGGATACAGCACTTTGAGTACAGGCATTTAGACAAACAAGCCGGTCTTTCAAAATGAGCTATTTTTTTAGTACATCCTCGCCCCTTTCCAGCTCCCACTCCGCGCGTCTGCTACCGGTCAACGTAAACATCGAATCGCTTCGGGAGCAGACGCGCGAAATGGGAGCTGGAAAGGGGCGTGGCTGTACTTCCCGGACGTACCGTATCGCCGCAGCGAGGTACAGCACTCGCACACTTCAGCCTCTCGGCAACCGTCAGTGCAGCGGAATCTTCTCGCGTTCACAGCTCCGTGCAGATCTCTATTGGGTTTAGCTACTTTTTTTAGTAGTGGTGTTCACTATAGGGTTCTCAATTATCTCTTAATGGTCTCCAAAGTGGAAATTAGGTCTACGTCTAACTCTTCTGAGGGACCAGGGTACATGTGCAGCGAACTAGGTGAGCCTTGCATACCAATCTACTTGTGTGTTAGGGTTGACATGCTATGTTTTTTAAATAAATTGCACACCTTGCATACACTGAGAGATTAGTCATATACTGAGGTATTTGGGTAAAACTAAAATTTGGCCAAATCGTTTTTATTTTTGTGTGACTTTATTTTAAGAAATGTCAAAAAACTAATGGCACTACTTGGGCACTACATGATGATGTTTTTAAATGTTGTGCACGTCGGTCGCAACATTTAAAAAAGGACACTGTATCTAATAGCATCTGTTTCTACGACCTCAACGATGTATCACGTTACATTTGTTTTTTTTTTAGTTATAAAACAAACGTGTTTTTATATTTTTTTCTTTTATTTAAGAAGGAGTTGCAAACAAATGCTTGATATAAGATTGTATGGTAACTGAATTTAACCTAGTCTGATCCTTATCTTGGCCACCTTGATATTCATTATTTTAAAAATAAATTTACAGAAACGTGCACTATTCTAACGTTCTTGTAAGTATTCTTACGTACTTACATTCTTTTCTGAAAAATCTCAAAACTATTAGCAAAGCCTCGAGCAAAAAACTATTTTTAATCCAAGGAATTCAAAAAGTATTTTATCCTAAAAGAACTGGGCATTTATAAAAGTATTCAGAGGTATTAACGTTCCGCCGCATAGACGCCAGGCGACGCAAAATGTAAATAACAGCTTTTTTAAGTTTTTGGCAAACATTGCTACGCCTCAAATTTTATAATCTCCATTGATATCCCTCAATATTTTATCCAAGGCTTCTTTTCTATATAACATTTTAGCAAAATAGCGGAGGTAGCAAAATTGTCCGATGAGATGGCAACGACGGAGTCATCTAGTACGTCAGAGTGGCAGCTTTGCAATCTTCATTTGCATTTTTCAAGGGGTGTGCAACAATTTCGAGAAAAATTTCGCCACGGATAGTCCTCTAAAGTCTAATAGAGTATATTTCAATAGTTGTAATGCGTGGCCCTGTTATCTTTACTCGGGCCGTTAATTTGAACTCCGTATCATTTAAAATCATTATGGCAATGTACGCAGCCGTTGACATTGTGGTGGAACGTCTGTTAAACGATTCAAGTGATGACTCGGATGAAGAAGTTATCAGGTGGAGAGAAAGAGCAAATTTTCAGATATGCATAATTCAAAATAAAAGCACCTGCCTTCAGACGCTCTGTTTATTTCAAATTGTGTTAAAAAGCCATTAACGCCACTCTTATGCTGTAGCATAACTTCAATCTTTTCTTCTTCCATTTTTTCACACAAAACTGTAGTTGTCAAAAAATGGTAAAATGTAGAGTATAGAATGAATATCGTGGATCAACCGAGCCCGAACGTCGGTGGATGCTGTTGGCGCCGGTGGTATATCCACCATCAATATAAAGACAAGTTTGATGTACCATCGGTCGTTCCAGAGGAAATTAAAGGAAGCAAAATTGGCTAACCGGTTGCACCGGTAGCTCAACCGGTGAATTAAAGAATATACTTAATATCTTCCCTGTCGTATCGACAGTTATCAAAATTTTGAATATACAGCATGATTTTGTGTGCAATTTTGAGGACTGCCGGTGATAACCTCCCGCCCTAAGAGAATCTCCTGCATCCTTGAACGTTGCTATGATTCACCTCCGCGCATGTTAGCCGCGGGACTGCGACAGCCTCCGCTGAATTGAAAAAAGACTCCAATCACTCGGATCGCGATGCAGGTACTCGTATATCCAGAGCCACGTGTCTTGAAAATATTTACTTCATTCTAAGCTTTAAGAACAGATCTTTGCTGTTATAATCTGTGTAAGAGGTGCGTAGAATTACCGGGGTTGGGAGCGTATAACTATACTAACGACAAAAAGATTGAGATATACCTTTCCCCGCCCCCTATAACCCCCAACCTTCACGTCAAAAGATGTATGAGCAATTTTTGTTTTTGTTTTTGCCTCTAGCTCCGCTGCCACTTGACTGATTTTCACAATGGCTAAGCTTTTTCACTTTTGGCCCTTATGAAAATTTCATCAAATTCCAAGGGGTGCCTAGACACGCCAAGGATTGGCGGCACATAGTACTACCAGAGGCAAAAGCTTGTCAAAAAGCAGGTTCTATCAACGCCAAGGTTATTCGTTAGACAGGATTTCCGTTACTGTCAACTGTCACTGTAACTTTTATTTACTTCTACGGTTGTTGGTGATTATATTCAATAAATCTGTCCAAAAAAATATTTTGCCTGCATGTGGGCAAATGATAAATTTCTGGATTCTGTAGATTGACATGACATTCGTGACAATGAAGCGTCCCCGCAACCTCCCCCCCCCCCCCTTTGGAAAAATCCCTCCGGATGACCAGGTATGGAACGGGTCAGTTAGGAACACGAACATCAAACGGCCCGATAGTAGCTATCGCATCTGTACAATCTGTTTTGGCAAAGTGTATCTAACGAAGCTACAAAGTAATCGTAAACAGTGGTTGATTCGTGATCAACGCGTGATCGGTAGCCATGGCGCTCTGTCGGCCTCTTCCTGATTGGCTTGTAGCGACGAGCCTCCAGACAAAGTCGCACGGTTGCCACGCTCGGCGAGTTTTCGCCAGAGTGGTTGATCACATTCGCATGGATCACAAATCAATCTGTTGGTGCAATACGTGCAATAACTGTTGTAAAGGACATTATATAACAATAAATGGCATCACAAAGGTATATTCCAATTTGATCTGCTGCAAATTATAAACGGCATATACGGAGATGCGAAAACAAGCTCAAAAAGGTGAAGAAAATTTTTGTGCAATCTTTATAGTTAAATTTTTCCTAAGAGATAGCATCAGTGAGGGAATTTTTTTCTATTGTCTTATTTTTCACATTAATGCGATGTCAAGGTATGTGGCCCTGTCGCAATTGAAAATAAGGTTTCGATAATCCTTCCATAAAGTTTCGATGAGTACATCTGAAATAGCCTTGAGATATTCTTCAGGGAAATACAAAAATCTCCTTTTGTGTTTTTTTGTGCAGATTTATCTATTAAAATCCTATCCGCAATCTATTTTCCGTGCACACACCTTCAGCCGAATGTATACCATATATGATATTACCGTTTCCAACTTTCACCAAGGTTAATAGGAACCATAACAGCTCCCTACCCTTCCCCCCTATAAGAATATCGATTTGTAGCCTCACATTTCAAGGTTAGACTTCTTGTAATGTTTCTGTTCAACATTCGGCGATTTCTGACAATTTTTCCAATAAAACATGATCATTGTGACATTAAGCCTGGCAACGCTGCATAGTAGAGGGAACTCTCAGCGTCACGTTGATGGTTCATCACCACGCACAGGATTGTAATCAGTTAAGGATACCCGTTTATGCGCGCGAACGTTTTATGCACGTCTTGACTTGATTTTTCTTGCGGAAATTTAATATTAGTCTAAAATGTCTGACACAGATACAGCTGATGAAGTGGTTGAAATCAGCTTAACGTCACCCAGAAAAAGGGCTAAAAAGCTTCATCTTAGCGCAGGTTGAAAACAAATTATTCTAAATATCTACAAGAACCAGATGCAAGAGAATAGTGGATTGGCTATAGAAAATATCGTATGTAAGGTTGCTGAAATTTCTGGAGTAGGTCGATCAAGTGTTTACAAAATCTTGAAGGTATATAGACAAAATCACTCACTATCTGAGCCAAAAACATATCCAGCGAGAAAAAAAATCATCGAAAAAATAGATGACTTTGACAAAAGTGCCATTAGAAGAAAAGTACATCACTTTTTCTTCAGGAATGAAATACCTACAATAGATAAAATATTGAAGCAAGTGAATGATGATGAGGACCTGCCAAATTTTAAACGTTCCATAAGCTGTTGAAAGAACTAGACTTTCGATTTTTGAAAAGAGGAAGGAATAGTTTATTGATAGAAAAGGAGGAAATTGTTATCTGGAGGAGAGAATACCTTAGAAAAATTTTATTTATTTATTTAGACGAAACATGGGTGAACGCGGGGCATACGCAGGGAAAGGTTTGGGTAGACAGATCTGTGAGGTCCTCAAGGCAGGCTTTTTTAGATGGCCTTTCGACGGGATTGAAAAATCCTGCAGGTAAGTTTCGAAGTATATGAACTTTTTTGGATGCAGATAATTCATTTTCTGATCGAATCAATGATTTGGAAGCTCCGAACTCAGTTTTGCTATCTCATCCAAGTTTCTGAGTATTTCCTTCACCCAAAAACTAATCTAAGACCCTATCCTACACTAACCTAAAAAGAGTAACTAATTACTTTCAGGCAAGGGAAAACGCCTGATCATTTGCCACATAGGTAGCGTAGATGGATTTGTTCCTGAAGCATTGTGGGCATTTGATTCCAAAAAAACTGGAGACTATCACGAAGAAATGGATGGTAACTCATTTGAAAATTGGTTCAAAAAAATTTTGCCGACACTTGATGATAACGCAATTATTGTGATGGATAATGCCCCGTACCACTCCAGAAAATTGGAAAAAATTCCAACAATGGCCACTAAAAAGGCAGACATTCAACAGTGGCTTGTCTCAAAGAAGATCGACTTCGACCAAACAATGGTCAAAGCTGAGCTGATAAATATAGTCAAGCGACATAAGTATAAATATTTGGCCGACATCAAGCAATACGTGGCGTCAAATAACAGCACTTTTAAGTTTTCTGACCTTAAAAAACTGTTTGATGTTGCTGTCGATAGAATTACGCCAGCAAAATGGAGAACATGTATTGACCATGTCCAAGAGAAGGTTGAAACCAAAATGTGGGATATGGACAATATCATTGACACCCAAGTTGAACCCCTTATAATTGACATCAACAATTCTGATGATTCAAGCTCCTCGGAATACAGCATATAAATCGATTGATACCATTAAGACTGGCAGTTTAACGGGCTTTTTGGCAAGACAGGTAAGTTCAGACTGCAATCAAAGTGTAAGTTTCTAGTTATTAATGTGAAATTCCAAATTTATAATTACACAAAATTAGGGTTAATTTAGGAGTTCTAAAGCATAATAGTGCCATTTTGACCTTCTTCCTATTTCTCATGTAAATTTTAATAGCAATCAAACTAACAAACTTTATGGAGTCTGTAATAAACTTTTGTACTACTACTACTACGTCTGTAATTTCTATTTGCTCAAAAAAATTTGCTTTGCATTGTGAATAGAAGGTTGATTTGTAAATATTATTGGGTATATATGTAAGTTAATAATAAAATATGAACAATTTCAATTGAGATGGTCCACAAGTTTTTTTCGTGTGCGTTTTAGTAACATTTTGCTGAAATGGTGAATACAGAATTTTTGCACTAATTCCTAATGTCGAAATATGATTAGAAAGGCGTGGTGTATTCCTGATAATTTACTATGCTTTTGATAGAATTTACAGCAACACATATCTTGTACGACATTTTTTGATAGATCAGTCACAATAGCTTGATACGGCCCTGTAGCGTCTCCTACGGTTAAGTTCTTGATCACGTGCAATACGGGTGTATATGTTTGATTTTACTTTGTTTCTTCGATGGATACAGTTTAGGCAGACAGACCGACGGAAATGAGTCATAAAATAATTCTGCGCCAGTGAAGTATATTAAATAGCACGTGCCACAAACGATACAACAGCTACTGAGATTACGCAGATAGAGACACGTTAACTGGCGAACATACATAATAAACGATAGCGGGAAGGCCAACAACCCTACAGTTTATGCCAAATATCACAAACTTTATTTCGTGCTGATTGTGTGAACTTTTCAGTTTAACCTGTCTGCACGTTCTGGAAAATGAGCGTTTGCATCACGTAAATGATATAAATTGCATGTTTTTCCGGAATAGGCAAGCGTCAGCTTCTATGAACTAACCTCATTAGTGCCTGCGTAAAAACCCAGTGAGAAACATCACATTTTGTAGCTGTACATCACAGCGTATTTCAAACTAAAGTTACATATGATGTATAACCGAATTTACTTAACTTTGTGCGCAAACACCCTGGAACTACGCACGGCTTCCATAAATTAGCAGGCTCAAGCCATTTATTATTTAAAATTTAATTAGTTTCTAAGTTACATAAGCCCAGCTGAAAAATTATCGTGCTAGTGTTGATCCCCTACGAAGATGCATACTGCAAAATGCTGAAAACAATCTTGGCTACGACATGCATTATACTCATTAGCACATTTTTTTTTCTAAGGAGTTGAATTAATTTTTGGTCCAGTCTATCTAATGCATTCCGACTAGATAAAGGGAGCCAGTCACAGATTTGTTTGTCTTCTTATTCCCATAGTCTGTATTGAGGATCAAAGTGCGCTTGACAGTTTTGTCATTAAATTCGTAGTTTTAGTGTTATTTTAAAAAAAAAAGCGAGAGCTTGCAGATAATTATGGTGTTAGACGATTTCAAGACGAACTAGTTCTTACATTATTGGCAGCAAGAAGCACAGGCCCAATAAAGGTAGATATTTCCACGGACAAATATTATTATTACGATGATACAAAAGTACGGACTAAGACTACTCAATTTCGGCGAGAAACAGTGCAGTGTAAACGTCGCCGTAATGAAAGCACCTATACAAATTATAGTGTAAGGTTAAGGGTAACGTGAAAAGAAGCTGGAGACTATTCCTGTCACTATCAGAACTTGACTTCAGCAAGTTTTTAAATAGTGTAATAAAATTCGATCTAAAAAACTAAACTGCTAAATATTTTGGAACCAGTTTACCGATATCCACCAAATTATGATAATGGATCATTTCCGATCAGGCAGTAATAGCTGTGCTGTTGACAGGGCTGCCATTTTTTGTAAACAACTATACTTTTTCAAATTTAATTATTAATATGTCAAACAACTAATTATCTTTAGATATATTAATATTCTTATAAAAAATTAGTATAATATTCGATAACATGATTTGATTATATGTATAGCCGAGGTTTAGTTGAAAAATAATATAAAGTAACACTCTGTATAGTGCGGTGGAACTGTGGCACAGGCAGTGGCGGTAAGTCACCGTTATGTCATGTCACATTATAGATTGAGTAAGTGCTTGTCAAGAAATGAGCGCAGTTATTAGAGGCAATCAAGAATAGACCGCATCTTGGATAACCAGCAAAAAAACCACAGTGAAGCAAGAACAAGTCATAGTGAACAAGCTCGGCATAGAAGCATGAGCAAGCGGTTGCCGACCTGAAACGCAGCCAATAAGAAGGAGTTTTAAGGCTTAAAGGAGATATAAGTCATCAAGCACAAGTCGTAGCAAACTTGGAAAGTAGATTTGAGCAGTACACCACTACGTGTTGGGAGTCACTCTACTTGTAGCTATCTTTTTACTTCATTTTCAGAACGCCACTTTCATGCTGGCTCTGAATAAGGCCCACTGAAACATCGTGCCAATGGCGCTGTTCTCATAATCTGACATGGCCTGGATAAGATACCTTCGCCCGGCAAAACGTAGTCCTGTCACGCTAGCGCGATTACCCGGATCATCCTGGACGAGAAGGCAGCCCGACCGGAAAGATTAAGGCCCTGTTTCTACTTAAGGAATATAAAATATGAACGTATTACGCTCAGAAGGGCGGAATGGATTAATTAGTTACGTGAGAGGTCGGTTTGTCGTCTTAGATTTTGTCATGAAATCTCAATATTAAATTGAAAACATTAAAGTACTGGACTAGAGACTATGCCAGAGATTACTTAAAACCATGCGGTCTACCGGTTTTTTTACGTTATCTAAAAATTGACCTCCAGACGGATGCTCTCGAATCTAGCATGCGACACTGCAATTTAATTATTGTGATTTTTGTCATCGTATGTCACTGTACTGTCAAGTTTATTAATTTATTTATTTTTCTGACGGATGTTGGAGACAAGTGGCCAATAACGAACGGTATTTTGAAGCAACTCATACATCTATTTGGCTCTTAAATGCGTCATTCTTTGTTACTTGGTTGTAGCTTCATGATATTTTTTCGAATGGAAAATGTCTATTGAGAGATTCAAGGAGGTCCTTTATGAGTTTTATGCGACATTCACCTATCTTGTATCCGTTTACGGAGGAAACGATTGTGCTCAGATCAAAATTACATTAGTTACCAGGACATTTATTAAATTGCCCCACAAGATTTTGACTCCTTTCAAAACTTGGAAATCTCGGAACCCCACTCAAAGCCTTGCCACAGACTCACATCTTGTAGAACCTTTGTCGGTAAAGTTATGAGAAATTACGCACTAGAGTTTCTGGTGCTACAAGATAACGAATTGTTGAGCATTTCTGTTACAATATTTTCGACAGCATATAGCAAATAAGGATGGTTGGAAAGACATGACAGCTTAAGGAACCCGTTCCAATTTGTCAGTACTGACTAATGCTAGTAATGACAGATTATTTTTCCAAAAACACTTTTTCATTTAAAGCCTTACTTCTAAATTATTTCTTCTATATAACCAAAATCTTCCAGTCATTTCAACAATGCCTAGGCGATTCCTCTACTAATAGTTGTATTTCTTGTTCTTTGCTCTTTATCTTCCTTCATTCTTTCATCTCCTCTTTCTCTTTGACTTTATCTGAGCAACCAGACCGACAAACTGACCAACATACTTTGACACAGAGTTAAAGGTCCCACGGACTGCCTTGACAGACAACGACGAAACGACGACAGGTTATTTTTCCGATTTTGATCAGAAGCTAACCCCAAAATTCCGAAATCTTTCTTAGAAAAGCTTCTCTATTAACTTTTAACAACTCTGTTAGGATTCGGTTCAGACTGGCAGGACTTGATAAACTCGGAAATTGACTACTAGACTGTTAACTTGCCATGTTGGAGACAAGCAAACATATTCAAAACGCAACCCTACAGAACAGGCACGTATTTAGATTGCAACAATAGCTCGGATCGTCGCCCTCAAACATGTGTATCATTATCCTTATGAAATTTCTGCGCGCCAAGAATCGACAAGCACCAAGGGAATGTGACGGACTGGGTTGGACAGTACTGTAAGCCACCTCGTACCTATTGAAGTATTGTTGAAAATATGTTTAAAATTGAGGTTTGCTATTCCAGAGTAACACAGTTAAACGTGAAGGATGTTTTTCTCAGATTCAAAAACCTTAGAAACAACGAAGCGACGTTATCCTTTATTCAAAGACCACATTCGATCACAGTAACGCCCTCTAATACGAGGGTAGTTCCAGAAGTACCCGAACCAACGAAGAAAACAAAATTTTTGTAAAAAAATGTATTTATTTTTCATTATAATCTCCTTTGAGCTCTATACACTTTTCCCAGCGATGTTCAATAAGTTCGATACCCTTTTTATAATAAGAACTATCTTGCTCCTCAAAATAGCCATTAACTGCCGAGATCACTTCTTCATCGTTGGAAAATCTTTGACCACTGATCCGTTGTTTCAAGTTTGGAAACAGAAAATAATCCGAGAGGGCTAAATCTGGTGGATAGGGTGTATGAGGTAGCAATTCAAACTTTAATTCGTTAATTTTGGCCTTTGCAATAACGGATTTGTGAGCTGTTGCATTGTCTTGATAAAACAACACTTTCTTGTTAACCAAATGCGGTCGTTTTTGCTTGATTTCATCGCTCAAACGTTGCAATAAGTTCGCATAGAACTCGTCGTTGAAGGTTTTACCTTTTTCAAGATAGTCAATCAAAAAATTATCCCACGCACATCCCAAAAAACCGACGTCATAACCTTGCCTGCAGATAAAACGATCTTCGCCTTCTTTGGAGCCGGTTGTCCCTTTTGATTGTTCTTTTGTCTCGGGTGTGAAGTGATAAACCCATGTTTCATCGACGGTTATGAAACGATGCAAAAATTCTGCTTTGTTGCTGTGGAACTTCGCTAAACACTCAATTGAAACATCTTCACGACACTGTTTTTGCTCGATTGTGAGCAATCGCGGTACCCATCTTGCACACAGCTTTCTCTGTCCAAATTTTCAGATAATATGCGATGAACCGCACTTTTTGAAATGCCTACTAGATCTGCTAGCTAGCGCACTTTCAGTCGACGATCATTCAGTACCGCTTTGTGAATTTTCTTCACCTCGTCTTGGCAGCTCGTACGGCCTCGTTTAAACTCTGTTACCCAATATTTTACTGTTTTAGACGAAGGTGCAGACTCACCCAGAGTAGAATCAAGTTCAGCTTTTATATTGGTTGGACTGAGGCCTTTGAAATAAAAGTATTGTACCACATAACGATGACTCAAAATGCTAGCATCTTTGTGCCGACAGAGCTATTGGATAGATGTGAATCAAGTTAACAACACAAGTGACTCTGAAAGATAATGAGAGAGAAGATATGTTGATTTTTAACACCTGCAATGGTATTCATGAATCATATGATCAACTGAAGAAAGTAGCGCTTGCTGTCCTACCTGATTTGGGTTTACATATTTATAAGAACACTTTCAATCATGAACCCCATCAACACTGAATTAAGAAATTGACTGATCGATAAGAACTTAGAATCGTGCCTAAAATTTGAAAAAACAAGATACATCAACAACTTACAATACTTGCCAAAGAAAAGGTAAGGCACGGTTCAGATTATTTGTGTTTTTTTAAGGATACCTTTTATATTATTTAATTTATTATATTTTTTAATAAATATGATCTTTATATAACATGTATGATACCAAGTTTTATTTAGTGTACTGTTGTTACTTAAGCTAAGACATATCTAGTAAACCTAGTTGTTTCCAAAAAAAATTAAAAATGAATCTTTGAATAAATTTAAATTTCGCATAGTACCTATTGCCTAAGCTGTGTGTGACCGTGTCAGATATGAAAGAAACAATGTCTACGGACTAACTGTATCACCCCGTTTGACTGACTTATTTCTCAGAGGGAAAAGTTTGTGCTGAACATAATGCTTTATGAACCGATTACGGCGTTGCGTGGGATGTGGAGAGTCAACCTACTTGGCACCACTGTAACGTTCTAGGCTGAATCATAGTTCCCTTATTACTAGAAACTTAGAAGTTGCAGTAGAATCTAGTCAAAATTTCCTGTCTCTCAATAATTAAGCTTCTAACAGTAAGCACTGCGTAAGGTATAGATGATCTCAACTGCTAAATATTTGTAGCTTCTGTCACTCAATTAAAAAAAATACAAATTTTTTTAAAGCGATCCATTCCGATAACATCTAACTAGGCTAAGCCATACTTCACGCAGCGCTGCCTCGTAGCTGCTAGGTGCAACTGAACGTAACTAATAAATCCTACTGTTTGCAGCAATCATGGTAGATCGGTATTCGTGCTCTTGCTTCGTACATGATTTAGTACATAAATCATAACTTCGTTTCCAATTATCCGCAGTTCCAAACTAAATGTAAGTTACACAGAGATGCTTAACGATGGAAACTCTAACCACGCCTTGATAAAATCGCTCATAACATACCTCAAGCAGTTATAGTGCCTCCCCTGTTTTCTAAATCTTAGCTATGAAAACATCACTCCATTTCGAGCTCAAAGCCAATGAAAACTCTTTTCATCCCTTTCCGCGGTCTGCTCAACGTCGCAAATTTAAATTCACGTCTCATCTCTGATGATGAGTGCCTGTGTTTTGTGCTAGTGCAGCTTTTACAGTACGGACATGAACGCTAAATCCGAATTCGGTCCATTTTAAAACTTTGCGACGTTAACTGTTAAATTAATGTTCGCTGCATAAAAGTACGCTAATTAAAACTTATACGTTTACGGCTTCGTACGTTTGCTCATACGTAAATAAATTATAGAGCATACATGCCGTATATTTTCTGCTTTCTGAATGTATTACTGAGTAACTTTAATACAGATTCTGCTCCCGCATAATCATTCATTTGATTAAAGTATTTTACGGTATAGCTTTATTACCAGAAATCAGTTTTTACAGCTGTTTAATTAAATAGTGTAAATTTGAGCTTTTATCAGTCAGTGGAGTATTTTCTTTGAGACATTGATGGTCGGCCAGAAAAATTTAGGCTATATTTTGTTTGAAATGGACATGCTTGCTTTCCGTCTCTGTACACCCAACCAACCGCAGACAGCGGTCTTCTATGCTCATTAGCGGTATGGAGTAAGTAGCCCTGATTACAGATGGCCGAAAATCAAACAAGAGGGTATGGTCGCTTCTAAAACTCAAATCACTGTGCGGAGGTAGGGAAAAATCTCCACCTACCAATGTGTGCCCAGTTGATCTTTATCCTCATCCCATACGATCAAAGATGACCGAAGACCCCTACGCTACCGGCTCATAACTGCTCGACGTTCTGCGCAGTGCACAAATAGATGTTGCAACAACAAGATGGTAGAGTCATCTGGCAGCCGGAATACCAAGTAATCCTTCAAGGTAGATCAATCATGCATTTATATGCGTATATGCACTGTTTTTTTAAGCGATCATATCGACTTCACTCCTGGACTACTAGGCCTACACTGCACTGATGAGTTGCTTATGAGCACAAAATAGCACTGTCTGTGGTTGGTCCTGGTTAACGAGATGGAAAGCATAGAAAGCCACTGTTGATCTGTAATATGATTACTTGGTAGTCTGGCTACTGGCTCAGCTGGCTGGGTCGACCGTCTTGGTGGTGCGACATATATCTATGCATTGCGCAGAGCGTCCAACATTTATGAGCCGATAGCGTAGGGGTTTTCCATCATCTTTTATGGCATGGGATGAGGATGAAGATCAACTTGGCGAACAATTGGTAAGTGGAGGTCGTCATATCTTTCGCCTACCTCTGCACTACATTTTGTTTCACATGATGGAAGGTCTGAAATACCAGTTTTATTCAATAACCCTTCAGGTCATATTCGCAAATTTGCCACTCATTACGTCGATTGGGTACTGAAAACAAACAATTATCTTCTTCAATATTATTTAGAATAGTGTTACGTCACTTCAAATGATGTGAATTTGGCTGATTACACTTCCTTCAGTAGAAAATATAGAATACAAGGCTCTTTTAAATCTCATTTTTTTTTTATTTTCGTAATGCCTAGGAATAATCATAAACCTATAATGTTTTTAGTTGTGGACAGTTTCATAAAAAGGCCTTCGGGTTACGTCAGACATTCTTAAATTCGCAAAATTCTTTGCAACTAATGCTTCAGTTTTTAGTCGTTATTGAGGCAAAAACAATTCCGCCAAGCAGAATGATTTCGTACTCTATAAGAAATTAAGAATAAGGCTGGCTACAGTTCGTTTCATGCTTTTTAGAAATCATCAGTACGGTATAGGTCTTCTCAGTTGGAGACATACAACGGCATCAAAAATATTTCTATCATTCTAAGCCTTAAGGGCAAATATACGGGGAAACATATGTGTATAAGATATATCTAATAGGTGTGTACAGTTACCGGGACTAGAAGTACATAAATATATTGACGCAAAGAATCTGCACATACCGTCTTCAACCTCCGGCAAGCCCCCAAGAGAATTTGTTTACCTCTCAAAGGAATCTCAAAAATAAGTTGAAGCCTCTGAATCGTTAAAGAACGAGGTTCGAGCGATTATCACTTTCTTTTTTTACTGTAGCTCTGCCGCAACTTAATCTATTTGCAAAAGCTACTAAGCTTTTTCATTCTCAGTAATGTATAGTAGTAATCTTGTTTCAAAATCTTATCAAAATCCGACCGGCAGGGGTATCACGTATCTTGAAAAGTGACATTATGCCGATTTTTTTTAACATTATGCTGTTTTTTTTTGTCATTATGTAGGTTATTCTACAAGATGTTAGCACTTAGTTTTACGTGTTGCCTAAACGTCATGGGGCTTGTTATCAATCTTTGACTCTGAAGTGATGTAAAATCTGCTTCTGAGGTGGCATTACTGGAGGTCTAAGCTGTAAGATGTATGTGTTGATGATAATTACGTTGGGTCCTTGTCTCAAATACACTTAATTGAGATTCAAAGCTAGATACTAGTTGCACATCCACTTTTTCTTACCCATTCTGGAAATTACATATCCAAATTTGCTGAATTTAAAAAATGAGAGAGATAAGAAATAATTATATTCACTGTACACTGTCGAATTACAAGCCATATACATGCTAACAGTAATCACACACAACGCGGGTGCGGTGATGATTTTCCGTAGTTCTCCTCAGTTTTTCGTAATTTATAACTTACATAACATCTCTTCAGAAAGCACAATATATAAATAACCCGTCATATTCGGCATATTCAGTCATGATTTTCATACACAGCACTGATTTTATAGACCAATACACATAATCATCCAGATGCGACCTTGCTATTCAACCAACATTCTTCTCAGAGATAGAAACTACAGACCCGGATCACTCAACCTCACAAAACTATGCAACCAATAATGCGTAGCTTAGTTGAGTGATTCCTCCATAGATGGACGTTCACAACGATCCTAGTGAGCAAACGTGGAATGACTGTGTGCGCCCTAAAAACTACCTAGTCTGCAAGTTGCCATCTTATAGGTTTTTTTTACGTTTTATAGGTTTTTTACATGATACCCGTGCGGGAATTTTCAAGTTATAAGAGACAAGGATTAACGGACATACATACCGATAAATAGACAGACATACACACAGACAGACAGAGACATACCGACGGAAATGCGTAACATGGTTTTTCATAATGAAGATGTCATGTAATATTCAGAAAACAATATACACCTATATGTATAATTTGCGAGGTTTTCCGCTATTACAATACTGTTCCGCCCTTTGTTCTGAGAAGTAAAATAACAAACAGACAGCTCTTGTATTGTAGGAAGCACAAAACTTACACTTTTGAGATCCATACAATAGGTAAGCGAAAAAATATGCTGAGAACAATGTACAAACTATTTTTTCAACCATGTAATCCGACATTTATCCGTTTCTTTAGCGAGCCAACGACTTAGACACAAAACAACTATTATGTTCTGTGGTCTATTATAAGGTTGACAGACTAGAAATCACTTTCTCAATTTGAATATATGAGGTATATTATAGTTCTTAAGTAGATCCTTTCTCATTGCATTTATATGTAAAAAGGCAGGACCCGTGCAGAAATCCAGAAAGATATTCATAAAACAGACCGTATAATACTGTGGTGGAGCTCTTAAATTATAAAGTATAATTTAATTTACTTTCGAACTTGTCCTCAAAATACTTCTTCCCAGTTATTCGTAGAAGCTTCAGATCTTTTAACCATTTACGTATATTCATGGGATAGATGTCTCTGGTGAAAATCCAGCTCGTTATTTCACACAGCATACCTAATTATTAATGTTTACTGTATTCAGGAGACAAGACATGGTACTATCTTTAACTAAGGTATAC